ACTACAATTATATACTTTAACTTTCTGTTAAAACTAAAAAATAATTATTTTATAATTTAAAATTAATTATTTACTTTTTATTAAATATTATAAAAAATAGATCTAAAAATTATGTGTTTTAATTCTAATAATTAATAAATAATTAAACTTAACAAAATAACACAAAAATATATAATATATGTTGAAAAAAATAATATACATAATTGTCTATGCAAATACGAAGTCTATTTTTGAAGTATTACGTTGATAAAATCAATGCTTAAAATTAATTTTTATTTTAAGAATATAAATTGACTTATAATCACTTATTTTTAGTTATTTAGTGTTTAAAAATCATAATAAATAAAATGTCCAAAACATATAAATAAATAGTCTACATTCTTATAAATTTTGATTTATCTTAGTTTATTTACCAATTATATATTAAGTGAACTTTCCATTCTTCATGGATTAGTAATTTAGGATTTGAGACAAAACAATTTTATTTAATTCAATAACCCAACTTTTAATTATAAAAATGGAATAGTTTGTATTTATTAAATATAAAACCTTTTCACTTTCAAAATTCAAACAAAGAATACATATCCAAATCATTTGGTAACTTTGTTAAATAAATTCTTTGCTATGCATTTTAACCTAATTTTTTATAAACAATAATTTTAATATTTTATTTTTATCACTTAATGAAGTGGGTATATATATAACTTTCAAAAATTCAACAAAGAAATACATATCCAAGAATCTTTGGTAACTTTGTTAAATAAAATTTTTGGCTGATGGCATTTTTAACCCTAATTTTTCTATAAACAATAATTTTAATTATTTTATTTTTTATCAACTTTAATGCAAGTGGGTATATATATATATATATATATATATATATTATATATATATATATAACAGATGCATTCATCCTGACTAAACCGAACCGATTCGGTTGATGACACAATAGTATTGAAGCGGTTAATGTCCCATCAGCAACAAAAATATATATTTTATATAGAAAAATGTGATGACATAATAATATTGACTTGCTGGCTGCAAAAGCATTATGGGATTAATTATTTTTTTAAATAGAGGAAGTATCTGCAAAATTGTTAATTGTTATTGTTTCCTCAAAGGCAACATGTGTAGGCCCTGCTGGGCTTGCCCAAGCAATGAGGATTAGAGATGAGAAATGACTAATTAATCCTTCCTGATCTCTATTAATTAATTAATTAACATTCAAAGAACAAAGGTTAGTAGAGACGCGGCGAATGGAGGAGGAATGGTTAGAGGGTCGTGGCCCCCCAGAATCGTGAGAGCCACTTGTGCAGTATAACATATAGAATGATTAGAGACTCTAACGCCTAATTTAAGTGACTCTCAATCCCAACTAATCTGCCTTCTTAAACATCTTAAAATATCAACAAACAATAATTTCAAAATTCAAATATTTTTTTTAAAGCATTATTGATATAATAACTTGATTAGTAAAAAAAAAATTACTGTCTCAAAATAAAAAATTGATTTTTTTAAAAAAAAGTTCGTACTATTCCGCAAATAATTGATCTGAAGTTATCCATCATTGAAATTAAAATTTATATTTGATGAAATCTTAAAACAACATATTGAGATCACGTGATAATTTTGATCTGAAGGTTGCAAATTACTGTCTGTAATTTAGAGTTTCTGAATGTGCAATTTGCAAATAAATGATAATTAACAATCACGTGATCATTATTGAGATCGCAACGAAGAGAAAGAAAAAATAAAAATTCTGATAAGTTTCTTTGTTCTCTTATTTATGTTTTTTTGGGAAAAGCAGCTTTATTTTGGCATTAAGCTAACATAGTGATGTCATGTGCATTATAATATGTAAATTTATATTATACACTTAAAACTTTATAATAATAAAATTAGTTTAATTTTATAGGTACCATATATATTGATTTATAAATTGATTTGGTACTATAGTGGGCCCAATCTTTGTTTGGCCGGAGAAGATTCTCTACGGGCAGGTTTTTATATTCAGGGTCACACTTCAGTGATTCTGGATCACTAATTTGGTTTGGACACCAATCGGAAAGGGTTAATTGCAACTAATTTTGGTATATCAACGAAAAAAAATTCACATTTTGATGGTTAAACTCTTAAAATTTTACGATCAAGTGAAATATGCATATGTGGACAATCGAAATTCAAATAGTTGGGTTCTGCAATTTTTTTTTTTTATTTTTGCTGATTGGGTGCCATTCGACATTCCACGTCAAATCCACGTGGATTAAATATTCAGAGGGTTTCCTCTACTCTCCCTTTGTGAAATTCAGAAGAAACTAACTTAGGACCTATAATTTTTAATAAATGATTTTAAGAATTTGATGGAGGAAGTTTCAATTCAACTCAGCATTTCATTAGGAAGTTAGTAAATTAGATTGTCCATTCCTTAAAGAGTTGTTTCTATATTTGGTTTAAAATAAATGAAAATTTAATCCTCCAATCATGTATTACTTGTATCTGTAATGTAGTCCTCTTTATTATTTATTTTTTATTTAATAATTAAATTATAATCATTTTATACTCTTAAATTTTGTTGATAAGTCATAGTACAATATAATGTAATCAAATGTACTTTAATGTAATGTTATACTAAAAAATAGAATCTTAATATCTTTAAGGGCATTTATAAAAAAAAATCACAAAATAATCTACGAGAATGGATGAAAGAGGGGCATGTGGTTTTAGGTATCCAGCACGTCCCAATCATTTGTTGTTGATTCAGATGATTATAAATGAGTTTGAGAGTAAAATCATTATATGTGATGGTTTGATCAAGATGCAAGTTTAAGTATCGAAGTACCTACTATTCGTAACTTGTTATATTATACAAGTTTGGTCGTGTACCTATTGCTAATATAATAGATATTTAAATAAATTTGAGTTTGGATAGCCAACGTATGATAAGATTACCAACAGATTTAGATATAAATACTTAAATGATATTTAAAGGCATTACCATCAAAAAAAAATTTCGAACTTTATAACTTGTAACAATTTCACTCCAAATTTAACTTTAACCCATTCAGGTAACTTTTTATCAAAATCATATTAATTTTTATTTGGTCAAAATCAGAAAAGGAGAGAATTCATGGAGGAAAGAGAGAAGGGAGCTATGGGTTAGGATAGAGATAGGAATTTTTGATTGAAGCTCAATGTTTCACTTAACTCTCTACTTGAAATAAGCTAACTTAAGTGTTGATGGTGGGTTCTTTATTTAGTATATTATATTATCTTATTTTGACCAATTTAAAATTAGAGTATAATTTTTGACAAAAAATGTTATTTGGGTGCCTAAGGGGTTAAATTGAATTTAAAGTGCCATTATTATAAAATACAACAATTAGTGTTTTTATGATAGTTTAGCAGTATTTAAATGGATTTGGAATATGCATGGACAGTAATATACTAAACAATATATAAGTATTGTAAAATTTGCAGTAGTCCACTCCTCTCCTAGCCATATCCATATGTGAATATGTTTTCTATAAAATTTCAATTAAAATAGTATTTAAAAATTATTAATAAAAAATAAACTTAATGCATGTTTGGTATTTAATTATTTTATTTATTAAAAAGTGATTCTTCTATCCATGAATATAAATTGTTTTAGCATAGTTCTTTTATTCATAAATATAAGTAATTTTGAGAATATTAATAAGTAATTAATAATATTTTGTCAAATTTATCCTGATTAAATATAATAATTATATTTTCTAAAGAGTAATTTGTCAAATTAATACACACTTTATTAATATAATTGAAAAGAATTAATTTTTTTTTAATTAATTTGCAATAACTTTAAATAATTTACACTGAAGGAGGAAGTATAATGAATCAAAATAACATATAGAGAAAATACTTTTTAGCCCCTAAATTTTGACCTAATTAATTAACTCGCAATCTATTTTGGTAAACTATATAAATAGTCCCCGAGTTTTAACTTCATCAAACAAATAGTCCTCCCATTAGGGAAAAAAAACTCTTTAATATTAGTCAACTAAATAAAGTGAAGCTCAAAGTGAGAAAAGATAAAATAAAAACCCAAGTAGCCTTAAAAGTATTTCTCTTTTACCGTGCTCAACCTCCATTGTCATTAACGGTCGGTCACTGTAAAAGAAACAAAATGACAAGCTCTGCGACAAATTGAACAAAATAGAAAAATATGTAGTAAAGAGCGAGGAAAATAAAAAAATTTAAACAAATCCAACAACAATTTAAACTAATGAATAAAAAAAAAATCACCTTTAAGATTGCAAACTCATGAAAACTAATTGAATAAAATAAGCTCTTTGACGAACACAATATAAAAAAAAAAAGATTCTCTTTTAGGAAAACAACCCATCAAATAGAAAAGAATACATTATTAATGACTCTATTATCACAGAGAGTGTAAATGCATAATCTACCCCTCGTCGATTGAGTTATGATATATCTTTTCGTTGTAATTTCAAAATTCGCCCTCAATTCCTTGGTCTAGCTAAAGTTGATAAAATATTTAGATAAGCAACAAATTTTCACATTTCAAATTTTATTTTTGTTAGAACCATTGTCCATTGTAATTGTGATTAGAGCTGTAGATTTAGATGACTGTTTTGATCACAACTGTAATTGGAGATTGAATTTGGCTGGTTGTGAGAAAACATTTTTAAGAATAAAACCTATAGATCAATGAGGTTTCACTTACTAAATTTATAGGAATTTTAGTCTTTCTACATTTTGTAAACATGAAAATTACTCGTAACCGATAGAAGGAGTATTTTGTCCTATAAAACTAAACTTCATGGACTACTTATAGGATTTATCAAAATAGAGGGACGAGTTACTTAATTCGTCACAGATGTCTTATTTGATTCTTTTCAATTCTCAATACAACACAAGAGCATTTATGCTAAAAAGTAAAAAATTATATATTTTGGGACCCACAAAGAAGTTATAGTCTCTATTTAGACATAAACCGCTGTTTCCCAGTAGACTTCATCGGTGCCACAAGTCCAGAACACATACAGAAGAAAGAAGATATAGTACCTCTCTTATATCACCAGATGCCCTTCTCCCTTTTCCTTTGATGTGGATGGCTCCTCTCTCTGCAGTTCCCTTAAGCAAACAAATCCCCAACTTTTATTTTGACAAACTCTTTGTTCAATAAACCTTACCAGGGATGTTGAATTAGATTTAGATTTGCTTCACCTGTCAAGTTACCATAGCACACCCGCATACTCACCCAACTTCTGCTGTAGGAATCTTCAAAAAGTAAGTTGTACTTCTTGTTTTCTTTGTTTTCTCGTACAAATTTTTTTTTAAGTTCCTCTTTGTTTTGGTACTATAAATATTATAAATTCTTTGTTGTCTAGAAGCTACAAGAAATGGGATTTTGTCCTTTTTTTCTTTAAGTTTCTATATACTGTAAATTATAAGAAGAAATGGGTTGTTTTCCATTTTTCTGTTTCAATTCTTTTGGTTCTGTAAGTTCTGGGTTGGCTACAAGCTATAAGAAATGGGTTCTTTTGGTTTTTACTTTGTGTTGTTGTAGTTACTTGCTGTAGCTCAACTTGTAAGAGACTGAGAGTTGATAACACAATAGAATAGGATGAATTGATTGCTTAGGTGTCTTTGACTAAATTTTTGTTGTGGGTTTTACAAAAAGTTTTCCTTTAATCATCCAAACGTTGCTGCTGTTAACTTTGTAAACTTAACCTGATACTGGGCTTGTAAAATCCTTGTACAGTCGAAACTAAGTTCTATGTTGCCGACTTGGCTTGTATTCAATTATGAATGAAAGTGTGGTAGGTTTCTTCCTCTGAAATGCATTTCTCATTGCAGTTTACAAAAACAGTTTTTGTTGACGATGTTTCTCCAAGCTGGGCATATTGGATTTTCGGATACAAGCAATACCAATCCTTCCTGGAAGTTCCTCTTTTTGTTTTACATTTTTACTGTTCTTTTGTGTTTCGGATCATGATGAAATTTACAATTGGGATTTAATAGGCTTTGTTAGATTCAAATTTGAAGCAAGTCGATATGGATGATGGAGCCTTTAATCCTAATTCTAGACCCAGGACTTTCTCGGGCACTGCCATGGATTTAGATTTCATCGATGAACTCTTGGATGATGGATGCTGGTTGGAGACTACTGATGGGTTCAACTTTTTGCAGCCGGGCCTGTCGAACTCTGGTGTTCCAAGTGACCCTTCACAATATTCTCCTTATTTAGAGTCCAGCAGCAGTCTTGCAAGTACAAACCTTCATCAGGTAATCCACCAGGAAGCAGCAGAAAATAACTTACCGGGAAATCCGCCCTGTAATAACACCAGAGGAAAGGAACTTACTGAAAGTGAATCTCAAAACCAGAGTTCTCTCAAGATTACCTCATCTTTAGTACAGCCAGAGCCCTCTCCAATTGAAGGCAGTGAATTGGGAACACGATTGTGGATTGCACCAATGGCAGGTGTGCAGTCATCTTCTTCCGTAAAGCAAAGATTAATTCATGCTATTGGAAAGTTGAAAGAATGCGCAAAAGATATGGAAGTCCTTGTTCAGATATGGGTGCCTACAAAGAAAGAAGGCAAGTGTGTCCTCACGACTATTGGTCAACCGTCCTTCCATAGTCTGAAAAATGAAAGTCTTGCAAGTTATCGAAATGTTTCAGAGGCATATAATTTCCCAGTGGAGGGGGATTCAAAAGAGTCCCTTGGGTTGCCTGGTCGAGTTTTCTTGGGGAAGTTGCCTGAGTCAACTCCTGATGTTCGATTCTTCAGAAGTGATGAGTATCCACGTAAAAGTTATGCAAAACAATATAACATCAGGGGTTCTCTTGCAGTTCCTGTCCTTGAAAGGGGTACTGGGAATTGCTTGGGGGTTGTTGAGGTTATAACAACCTCTCAATATATCAATTACCGTCCAGAACTAGAAACTATCTGCAAAGCTCTTGAGGTCTCTTCTTTCTCCCTCTCTCTTAGTTTAACTCATTGAATTGTGAGACCTTCAAATATTAATTTTTCATGGAAGAACATTGGAAACATGACACATAAATGGTTGGTCTAATCTGTAATGTCTGTGAACCATTTTTCACTTTGTAGCTACTGCTACATGTTGCGGCTGCAGTTGTTGGACGATCTCTAATTTTGACTATATGTTTCTTTCCATTATACTTTATGTGAGTGATGAAGTGGCTGGAAGGTTGTCACAAGCTCTGTTATTTTATATGTTATTATATCTTTGGCTATTTTTATTTGCCAAAAATTTTTCTCAATTTGGATTACTGCTACTACTTGCTTGAATACATTTCTTTTTCTCATCTTGTTGAATATCTGATTTTTTTTAAATAACACTTTCAAAGAAAAATCTTCCAAAAGTGCCAATGTTTATTGCTTTACCTGTAATATGACTCATCTGACCTACTCGAATGCATATTCTAGTCTAATACGCATATATCTATTCAGGCTGTTGATCTAAGGAGTTCACAGCACTTCTGCCCTCCAAGTGTAAAGGTAAATGGATGATTTCTTACGAACACGATAGATTTATGCTATATTTGGTTAAGAGGATGGAATCAGAAAAGAAGGAGAGACATAACGTGAAGGGAGGAATTGAGAAGGGATGACTAGATTTCCTTTTTGTTGTTTGGTAGCAACTTATAGAAATAAGGATGGATTCTCTACTTCTTTTGCAATGACAATGAAGTATTACTTCTTTTCCAATCCTCCCAAATTTGGAAGATTATATTTATCATTCCTCTCTAGTTTTTCTCTTCAAGCAGCAAAGTCCCTTCTTTCTTTTCCTTCCTCTCTTTCCTCTGAACCAAATGTAGCATTAATATCAAAATTTATGATTTATAGTATCACATTTGTGCTTACTTTTCACAGGCTTGTAAAGAGTTTTGCCAAGCTGCAGTTCCTGAGATATCAGAGATATTGGGTTCTGTGTGCAAAACACACAAGTTACCTTTGGCTCTAACATGGGCTAGATGCTTTCAGCAAGGAAAAGGTGGATGCCGACATTTTGATGAGAATTTTGCACATAGCATTTCCACTGTAGACTCTGCCTGCTTCGTAGCTGATACAGAATTTTTGGCATTCCATGCGGCATGCTCTGAGCAGTACCTTTTTCTAGGTCAAGGGATTGTTGGGAAAGCGTTCATGATGAACAAGCAATGTTTTGCAACTGATATAACTTCATTTAGCAAGACAGATTATCCTCTATCTCACCATGCTAAAGTTCTTGATTTGCATGCTGCTGTTGCAATCCCTCTGCGAAGCACTTATGCTGGATCAGCTGATTTTGTCTTGGAGCTATTCTTGCCAAAAGATTGCCGAGATGGTGAAGAGCAAAAGCGGATATGGGACTTATTGCCCATTGCCATACAGCAATCTTGTAAGAGTTTACATGTTGTCATGGACAAGGAGCAAGAGGAAGATATCAGGTGGCAAATGGCTGTTAATTCAAATGGAAGATATAATAAACAAGAAAATCATAACTTTGCATCTTCTTCATTGCAACAACATTATCCAGAGAGTTCATCATGGATTACCCAGATGATGGAGGCTCAGCAGAAAGGTAAAAGTGTCTGTGTCTCATGGGACACTGAAAACAAACCTAAACAAGAGTTCAAGGTAGCAACTAATTATGATGACACTCCAGAAGACTTGTACTCTAAGCAGGTCTTTGCAGAGTCTGGACAACTACATCAAAATTCTGGAAACAAAAATAGTATCGAGGTCAGCAAAAATTCTTCTTTTGCTGGCCAGCACTCATCAGGCAGCAAAAAAGGAGGCGAGAAGAGACGGACTAAGGCAGAGAAGACAATCAGCTTGCAAGTTCTTCGACAGTATTTTGCAGGGAGCCTTAAAGATGCTGCTAAGAGTATTGGTGGTAGGAGAAAATTTTTATGACAATTGGAACTCAAATATTCTTCTTTCGTTCATTTAGCTTAGTTAAATATTACACGCTTCTAATGACAAAATAAAGACTAATTTTATTAAGAGAATCAAAGCCATTCTTAGTGCTGTGACTTAGATTTTTACTGGATGCCTCCATAATGTAATCTTCTATAGGCTTGAGTATAGCTGAGTTTTGCAATCCTTTGAAAAAGGTGTTGGTTAGAAGAGATTGCTTTGGTCTCTGTCACTTTGGTATATTTTTTCCATCTTATCTATCATATTCTCAGTCATCTAGCAATTGGGATCCAACCAGCAAGTTTTGCTTATACCTGCTGGAGTGATACTAGGAAATATAACTGTAATACCAAAGTGATATATTCCTTTATGAAATGCTGGTCTTTCTTTCATCCTCTCGAACTCCTTGATTTTTCTTTTAATTATTCTTGAATCCATTACCAAAATTAACTCTATCAACTTGATTCTCTTGTATCTTTTCACAGCCCTGTCTTCAGGTTTCCCAGCATCTTCTTGTTCTGATATGTAGCTTTCTCAAGACTAATCATTTTCACTTCTCTTAGTTTTTGGTTACTGATTCTAAATTGTGTGAGATCCCTTTAGGCTGGTTTCTTCCATTAGAATGTTATGCCGTTCTTAGAATAAGTTTAAGTTTTATGATTTAATTGGACATTGACATGTTTAACCTTGACATCTATTGTGTAGAAACAGGTTATATTCAGATTGATGTCTTCTGCTTACCAGTTTACTTCTAATTGCAGTGTGCCCAACCACTCTGAAAAGGATATGCAGACAACATGGCATCACTCGATGGCCTTCACGAAAGCTTAAGAAAGTTGGTCACTCATTAAAGAAACTGCAGCTTGTAATTGATTCTGTCCAAGGTGCTGAAGGTACCATTCAGATTGATTCTTTCTATTCAACTTTTCCAGAATTGACCTCTCCAAATTTTCGCGAAAATGGTCCTTCTGCCTCATTGAAGACAAATGACAATTTGAAGCCATTAAACCCGTGGCCTGATAGTGGCTTATCCAATGGTGGAGTCACTGCTTCAAAATCCCCATCCTCCTCATGTAGTCGAAGCTCAGGATCAAGCATCTGTTGTTCAACTGGAGAAAAGAAGCATAAAATCCCCGACAATGTTGTGAATACTGGGGATGCCATAGCAGTAGAAGACCCAAGTAGCATATTAAAGAGAACGCGTAGTGATGCTGAATTACATGCCCTTTATAGAGAAGAAGAGCACAAACCTCTTGCAAGATCCCAAAGCCATAAAATATTGGGAGATCATCATCCAAGTCTAACAGAGTCCCTACCTCCCTTCCCAAAAAGCAGTTGCAAAAGTTTTCGGGATAGCGGTGCATTTAGAGTTAAAGCCAACTTTGGAGAAGACAAAGTGAGATTCAGCTTGCAACCCAGTTGGAGCTTCAAGGACTTGCAACAGGAACTGGCAAAACGTTTCAATAGAAATGATATATGCAGAACTGATTTAAAGTATTTAGATGATGATCAGGAATGGGTTCTTTTGACTTGTGATGATGATCTTGAGGAGTGTAAAGACATATACAGATTGTCTCAGGGCCAGAGCCAGACAATCAAGATTTCTGTCAATCAAGCTTCACAGCATCTCCAGTAGTTCATATTGGGATTAACTGGATGAATCATTTTAGAGAGAGAGGAGATTCTGGTGGGATTCTTTTCATTTTCTTTTTAAACATCAGAGCTCCCGAATCTTGTCTCATAGATTAGGAGTAAGCTATTCAGAAGGAAATAAAGATGCAAGAATATGGCAATTATTGGTTAGAAAAAGTGCAGATAGAACTTGTAATTGAAATGAATGTTTTGTATGTTATCTTGTGTGCATATTATTTTAGATTGTAATGTTTTAAGGTAGCATATAGTTTCTTAAAATCTATTGTATCTTCAAACATTATATAATAGAGGGAAATTTGAATGATTAAATCTAAAATCTTTTTATAAATCTTTATTTGATTGTGAGAAAATGTTATATTCTATCAAATTAACAAATTTTTTTATAGCCTTAATTTACTCTTCCGAAGGAGGAAAAAATCTCACCATTTTGGTTAGAAGGGGAAATTTAATTTTATTTCAAAATTAAAAAATTTTATGAATTGCACATTCCGCGCAATAGGCAGGCAAACAACTAGTTGTTCAAGAAAAAATTAACTACAAAAGAAAAATTAAACAGGAAATTATATATTTCAATTGCACTTAATTAATAAATTAAGTGGTTAATTACCACGTAAAATTTTCCAGTCAGAAACCGCATTAATTCCTTGAATAACAAATAAGCAGTGAAATTTGTTAATTTTTTTCCTGGCTAAGAGTCTTTAATAACTACTCAACAGAAATAGTACCATCCCTTGTCATGTATTTCTTCTGTCTCAAAATATAAATTATTTAAAATTTTTATATAAGGATTAAGAAACAATTAATTCTTATAAATTATAATAAAATTAAGAATAATTTAAGAAAATTATATTTTATCTCAAAACCAAGCAACTCTTCAAAATAGCAATTGTATCTTAATACATAAGAGTAATATTAAAAAAATATTATTTATTACTTTATAAACAATTTATGTCGTGAGAGAAAATAATCTCCTAAAAATGATTTATATTTTAGTTCGGAAAGAGTAACGTTCCTCCATGGAAATTTGAGTGGCAATAAATCTCTACGTTTAAAACTAACCGCAACTCTTTCTTCTGTCTATCTTTGGCTTACTAAACTAATTCTTAACCATAAGTCAGTACTAAACAAAACCAAATTTCAATAAACAAACTTTTCTACACACACTCACCAACCTCAACGTGCATGCCATAACATTCATCTTTCATATCTTCTTTATTTATCTAACCCTAATCCACCGTGTGTCCATCACTAAACCAACCTCAAGCACTAGCTAGCTACCCATACTCAGCCTTCCGGCAACCATGGAAGATGCTTCTTCACCTGATCTATTGCCACCCTTGTCTCCCTCATCACCTAAATCTTTACCATCATCTCCAAGATTCCCGTCTCTGCCTCGGCCTACTATTTCTCTCCAACAACCCACCGGAAAAGACTCATCTAAATCTGCTAAACTCCTTCGCCGTTTCCGATCAGTTTTCCGATCATTTCCCATCATAACACCAACTTGTAAGATGCTGGGAAATGGACTTCATGACAAATACATCCATGGTGGGACACGGATGACCGGAACCCTATTTGGCCATCGGAAAACTAGAATTAACCTAGCAATTCAAGAAAACCCTAGCTCTCTCCCCATTTTATTGCTTGAACTAACAATACCAACCGGAAAACTGCTTCAAGATATGGGAATGGGTCTAGTTAGGATTGCTTTGGAGTGTGAAAAGAGAAGGAACGAGAAAACAAAGATTATAGAAGAGCCAATATGGACAATGTATTGTAATGGAAGGAAATCAGGTTATGGGGTAAAGAGAGAACCGACAGATGAAGATTTGGTAGTAATGCAAATATTGCATGTGATATCTATGGGAGCTGGGGTTATACCGGAGGACGGAGATCATCTGGACGGAGAACTAACGTACATGAGAGCACATTTTGAACGCGTAGTTGGGTCTAAAGATTCAGAGACCTATTACATGATGAATCCTGATGGGAATAATGGACCAGAATTAACCATTTTCTTTGTGAGGATTTGACATTTGGTGAGGATGAAGATTTTTAATTTGGTGTACATGTACATTTGCATTTTACTGGGAAATGATGTTAATGGGAGATTATTGGAAGAGCTTATTAGAGCAAACTTATATAATTTTTATTAGTTAATTCATGTCATTCCCCAGTTAGATGGTGTTGGCAATAGCAGCAATGTGTATGAGCAGAGCTGGTGATGACTAGCTAGCTAGTTGCAGCTTTATCAGTTCTATGTGTATAGTGATTATATGATAAATTTGCAATAGATATTATTAACTTCATGTTCAGAACACAATAAGTAATTTTAGCAAAAAGCAAATTGTACCCTAATATTTTGAACAGTTATATGGGAGTCACATAGAAAAGAAAGAAAAGAGTAATCTGAAAATGTATAACTAATCATTTATGCTCCATTTATTTATGAAAAATAACTTATCTTTTGAAAAACAATTTTCAAATAACTCATTTTTTCTTGTTTGATTGTAATATTGAAAGTTAATTAAAAAATTTTAAGTGTTTAACTTATAAGACCAAAAATATTTCTAATCATATAAATTTCACATTTTCAAAAATTTATTGGTAAATCTGAGACAAAATGTACAAAAATAATAAATTTTAATAGTCGCAGTGGTTGGTGGCCGAAGTTGGTGGCAACTAATGATAAATGAATTAAAAATATATATATTTATAAATTTATAATAAATTTGTTAATATCCCAAAAATATTTTTCTCTGAAAATTATTTTCCTTAAAAATAGTTTGGTTTTCATTTGACAAAAAAATATTTTCTATTGATGGATTTTCCTAAACACTCCAAATATTAAAATATGTGAAAAATATTTCTCATACAAGTTAATTTTCAAAAACAAACTAATTTTCAAAAACAAACAGACTTGCAGCTGATGATGCTTGAGGGTTTCAGTTTGGCTCAAATTCCATTTAGTTCTTGGGAAGATTACAAAGGGTGGCAACGATTAATTAGATTCCTTCTCCATTACAGAATTTTAATTAGTGGAATGCACGCTAATCAAAGATGACAGATATTTTAATTGCCAGAATTCTAATAATTTTTATTTTTGAATGATGAATTATTAATTTATATTATGCTAACATAAATACTGCTGAGAATATACCATACCTTTATCATTGTAAAAATTGATGCATAATAATACTGAGAAAAAAACTGTTTAAATTTAATTATTTATCATCTTCAGTTTTTCTTATGTTTTTGAACCTTAGTCCTGAGGATTATGTATATCTTTTACTAAGAGTTGGACAAGATGTGGAAGCCAATCAAAACATCATGGCATGCATTTTGTATTTATTATTATTATTATTATTAGAAAATAATATGGATTTGTACTTACATTAGTTCTTCCTTTGGAAATCTTTATATATAATAAATTAACCAACTTTAATGAATATTGAAATCACAAAGAATTTGCTTTACAGTGACATCTTGCTTCTTTGCTAGTTTTCCCATCTGGTGTTCAAGTTTTGGAAATGTCTTTGTGGGAATTATGCAACAAATAGAAATTAGTCCAAAGGGTTGGGCATTTGGGTGGCTCATTTTATCTCAAACACTCTTTTACATTTAAAGGCCAGTCTATGAGTCTTGGGCCTGCCTGACCCATACCAGCCCAAAAAAATACCCGACCCGCAAATGAACTAATATTTATGTATTTCATTAAGGGGAATTTTTTGCGTAGCTCATGACGTAGAAGAGAGAAATGTTTCCTTGTTCAAAAAAGGGACTTCTAGTTTCTAGACGACAACGCGTGTAAACAAACGAGAATTTAGCCTCTTAATAAACACAAAGGGAATTAGACTGGGCTCTAAAAGTTGATCAATATAATTAGTCCGAGCCAAATTTTTAAAATAAGTCTAATTTTATTTAATTCCATTTCCCAAAATATTTAAATGGATATTTAACCAGCGGTAGAACTAGAATATCATTCTTGCTATTTTTCATTTCTTGCTATTTTGTACTAATAAAATTACTGAGAAATGACAACTTACCGTTTGAGTTATAATTGTTATAGAACATGGAGGTGGTCAGATTGAACATAAAAACCTCTGAAATTGTTGTGCATAAGCATCAAAACCACAGCCTTTGGTTTTATCTTGTATTACTCATAGCTGCAGCCAAAGGTAGACATGTTCATCTGATTGTTTCAATCTTCCAAAAAAAAAAAAAAAAGGTAGGGATTCTATTGTTTTCAGTGTTTTTGCTGGATTGTTTCAATTCTTCAAAAAAAAAAAAAAACGAGAAGAATAATTTTGGTTCAACAAAAGCAGGTAGAGAATAAATTAGATATTTATTCAAATGGTTAGGCCAATTTCAACTTTCCTAGGCTTCCAGTTATCTAGACTAAGGATTAACAAAAACACATCTGGTAGGGCGTTGTGGCGGCTATTCTACAAACTCACGTCTGTCTCATCCCATTATACCCGTGTCATACAAAAAAAAAAAAAAAAGAGAAGAATAATTTTTTCAACAAGCAGTAGAGAATAAATAGATTTTATTCAAATGGTTAGGCCAATTTCAATTTCCAGCTTCAGTATCTAGACTAGATTACAAAAACACATCGGTAGGGGTTGTGGCGGCTATTCTACAACTCACCGCTCATTCAATACCCCGTGTCATACATTTCTGGGTATACTGAAAATAAAAGGGAAAATTAGTCATAAAGTAGAATTTACAGTAAGGGTAAGAAAAACAACCATTGAATTAGGAGTCAGGTTGCTCAGATTTCAGAGGTGTGCCCGATGAGGATGCACAATTCCCATTTTGAAGGTAGAGGCTCTTGGACACCGTAGAATCATTAACCAGACCAACGTCAACGTCGTCAAAGTTCAGTGTGCCTCTGACCTTCCTATTACTGAAGCAAAAGATGCAAAAAGCAATGTCATTGATTTAGAACAGATAAATTTTATACGCTGGAGGATGTTGCTAAAGAGAAGCATACCCATTTAAACGATTGTTGATTGCAGTCAGGTCTTTTGAAGGGCTCTGGTATGCATGAGTGCTCTCTCCCACACAAGCATAATAGCTTTTTGAGCTATGTGATATTAAAGCATCCATCTGAAAGCATGAGAACAGATCAAATTACACATTTAATTGATAAGGCCTTCTGCAGTAAATTGTCTCATGGTAGAAATACATTAGCTGTTATTTTCAGTCACTTGGCATCAAATAATTGATGCTGTACAATATTCAAGCAGAGAAACAAAGAAAACTCTAAACAAAATAATTGAGAAATAAATATGTACCTTGGACGTCCGTAATGGAGAGACATACACATTATGTGTTGCAGAAACTTTCTTTGGAGACATATCAGGGAGACTTGGAAAAGGCGATACTTTAGGTGATGCAGGGCATTGACCTGATTGGCCACAAACAAAAGCATGTTAAAATAATGATTTGGAACGACAACAGCAGGCAATGCTGAAAAATGTACCATCTTTATTATTATTGACTTCAGGTGTTGGACTAGCTTTTGTGATTGCTCCAGCAGAACCAACCTCCACCAGCAAAGGCTTCGCAGCAGGAATGAATATTTCATTGTAAAATGTAATAATATCAACATGATCTTGGCCTGTCCTCTGTTTTGAGACCGTTTAATAGGTTAGATGTCCACAAAGTACAACAGCAAATAGAGTAACATAAGGCAGCATACCCCATTGTGGCGTGCTGATGACCAATCAATAAACACACTGCGGAAAACTTGTGGTTTACATTGTGGCTGCTTCCTATAATTGAAAATGATCTCCCTGAAGGTTAGATTCACTTTAGAAATCTGCAGAACAAAATGTAAGAGTATGATGAGGAAAAATTTAGGATCGAAATGAAAATTAAAAGGTAGCTAATAAACTCTCACAAGTTACTGATAGCAAACCTTTGCAACTCCATAGAAACAACAAAGGATGATCTGATCAATATGACGGTTAAAGAACAAAGATGTCCGCTGACTAAGTATTTGTTGAAAAAGGTGATACACATTCTCCCTTATATGCTGCTGAGACTGTTGTAACCTTTCAACCATGCCATTGATTCTGACAGCAGCTAACTTATTAATCTAGGCAGAACAAGAATGTGGAAGTGTAAATATTGGAACATAATCAAACAAATAAAGCAGCACAATGTAATCTCGACCAAATTCAAAAGTGAAGCGGAACATTCCCTGTCAAGAAAAAACTCCACTCAGAAAAAGATATTATTTTTGGGTAGAGCACCTCGACCCTTAAGGGCTAAAGGATTACGTACGATTAACATACTCATCTTCAAACCGTCTTCAATACTGTTAACAATAGGTTAAACAAATGGCTAAGACAGATATCATCCTTCAGAACATTTATCATCTTCAAGAGCAAATTTTATAAATAGAAATCCATCGATAGACGAAACAAAGTCTCAGAATGCATGAAAAGGTAGATATCTAATTGAAGCTCCCCTTTACAACTGATTCAAGCTAATCAAATGCAAGTTTAGGGTTCGAAGTTTTGTCTCAAACAAGCTGGAACACACAACTTATCATTTCAAGGTTGAACATACTCAAACCAAACCCATCTTCTCTTGAACAACAGCCTAAAGCATAAGTTTGAGCCTATACTCTCATTTATTATTCTTATAGCCTATTGAATTTTGCAGGGGTTCAATTATGAACCTGCACTTTCATATTTTTTAGTAATAACTATGCCCCTCGTAAAAATAAAATAACTTTAAGGGATTTCAATCATAAAGCTGCACTTTCATATTTCATTTTGGCGAAAGACATAGTTATTACTGAAATGTGAAAATGCAGGGTCATGATTGAACTCCCGCAAAGTTTAGGGTCAAATTTATGTATTAGGTCCTTGAACAACTGTAATGTAAGCTAGTCCAGGCTTGTTTGCACCCTAAATTCTGGAAGGATGCATGAAATGTGGCAAACATGAGAGTCTAAGAGACAGTTCCAGGTAAATGCAATCGAGTATATACCAAGAATTGCGATTCCCAAGCCAACCACCACCGCAACCAAAAACCCCAAAAAAACAAAAAAAAAAAAAAAAAAAAAAACATGAGAGTCTAAGAGGCAGATCCAGGGTAAATGCAATCGAGTATAAATACAAAAATTTCGATTCCCAAGCCAACCACCCCGCAACCAAAACCCCCAAAAAATTAAACAAAAAAAAAAAAAAAAAAAGAGGATCCTTCCTTCCATACAAACAGAGTAAAAAGAAAGCCTAATGCATCCCCAAACTCTAAGCATATGTACAGTTATCTTAGGTTGTCAGTGGCAAGTACAATGGCCATTGACATAGAATGTTGAGTCTATTACCTTGCTAAAAGAAACACATTAATCCCAGTTTCCCGCGCATGTTTCCCCCTCCTCCCCGGGGTTTGGACGGTTTTGGACTGAAACAAAATCCACACACACTCGATTAGAAAAAATAGAGAAAAGCTGTAAATATGGTGCATAAAGGTCAGAGATACCAACCTTAATTTCCCCTAAGAGTCCCCAATTAACTCTGAAAAGGCAGACTGAAAGGTGTGGTAGCTTGATTTAAGTTTACTGAAAGCAAGTAGACGATCCTTCCTGGTGAAGTTAAAGGAGTTCCGCTCAAACTAACACACTACGATAGTCTGGCAATGGCCTTTTGGAAGACCCGGTGGATCTCCAGTCTGGCCCTCTGGAAATATTGATTAACCATGAACAATTAGGACACAATGTTTGTGTCAAACAATGTCATAAAAAGTTGTAGCTACAACCTAGCTAACTTTAGATTTAGATATTTAATTTTTTTCAAAGAAAAAGAAAATATTACCTGGACACAAAACCATGCTTTCTGTAAAGAAGGCATGGAGGCAAGCTGGGACAGAAAATAGAAGTTAACATGAACATAGCAAATTGCATCAAAGATTGGCATTGGTTCTCTTAATAACCCTAAGACGAGGTTATTGTATATCTCTGCAGATAGAGGGTCTTTGGCAACTGGTAAAAGTAATATACATTTGCACGGAGTCCCTTTTCCCACACTTCATCTCTCCAAGAGTCCCCGTTCTTCCCTCCCTTCTCATCCACCCTACCCCCGCCTGCCAAGTAAAATTAATACCCTAGATACAAGACCATACTGTTAAGATTCAAATCCGCTCACTCCCCTGGGGGACTCCCTCGATTCTAATGAAACTCTCTATCACCTTCGAGATTTCTCAAAACTGTGGAGTTCAAGTTTCTCTCTACATAACTGCAGGAAACAACGCTATTCGTGAACAAAAAAAAAAAAAAAAAAAAAAAAAAAAAGAGGATCCTTCCTCCATTACAAGCAGAGAAAAGGAAAGCCTATGCATCCCAAACTCTAAGCATATGTACAGTTATCTTATGTTGTCAAGTTGGCAATACAATGGCCATTGACATTAGAATGTTGAGTCTATTACCTTGCTAAAGAACACATTAATCCCAGTTTCCGCGCATGTTTCCCCTCCTCCCCCGGGGTTTGGACGTGTTGGACTGAAACAAAAATCCACACACAACTCGATTAGAAAATAGAGAAAAGCTGTAATATGGTGCATAAAGGTCAGAGATACCACCTAATTTCCCCTAAGAGTTCCAATTACCTGGCAAAGGCAGACTGCAAAGGTGGTGGTAGCTTTGATTTAAGGTTACTGAAAGCAAGTAGACGATCCTTCACTGGTGAAGTAAAGGAGTTCCGCTCAACTAACACACTACGATAGTCTGGGCATGGCCTTTTTGGAGACCGGATATCTCCATTCTGGCCTGGAAAATGATACATGACAAAGGACACAATGTTTGTGTCAAACAATTAAAAAGTTTGAGCTAACAACCTAGCTAACTTTAGATTAGATATTTAATTTTTTTCAAGAAAAAGAAAATATTACCTGGACACAACTCATGCTTCTGTAAAGAAGGCAATGGAGGCAAGCTGACAGAAGAGAAGTTAATATGCATAGCAATTGCATCCAAAGATGGCATTGGTTCTGCTAATAGCCCAAGACGATTTATCTCTGCAGATAAAGAGGGTCTTGCAACTGTCAAAGAATTATACATTGAGGAGCCCTTTTCCCACACCATGCTCTCCAAGAGTCGTTCTTCCAATGAATTCAAATGCCGCCTCAACTCCCTGGGGAGGGACTCCTCGTGTCTAATGAAACTCTCTATCACCTTGCTGAGATCAAAAGCTGTGATTCCAGTTCTCTCTAAAACTGCAGGAAACAGCATCGTGACAGTCTTATGCGTTGCCAGAACTAGTTCAGCAGAACATGCAAGCATACATCTGTGAAACCTCTCATTAGTTAATAAAGAGGTCAAATTAGTTGCATGCAATATCTGAGCCTCTGCTGTGCACATTGCTTCCAGAACCCTATAATACAACTTTAGAGCTTCCAATCTTCGTTGTTCTGCCCATATATTGTCCATAAGCTTTGTACTTTGCAGACTTCCAGTTACACAACGCTCTCCCAGAGCACTGCTTGGAAATATAGCCTCCAACATTATCTGTGCTCTACGTATGACATCATTAGTTACATCCCTATCACATGATGCAAGAAAGCGTTCTAACTGTGCCGATGGTTTTGATGGAAGTGGAGAAATAACAGTACGAAGCCACTTTGCAGTTGTCATTGCTGTGCTTACAGGCGTGGCAGCCATCTTAGGATTTGTGCTGCCAAAAATGCCATTTGCATGAGATGCAGGGGATTGATGGCAAGAAAGCGGACTTGTAATTGTCTTTGTTGGTGAGGACATCTGATCAAATTTTCTCTGCCCAGAACAAATAAAATGATGCTATTTTAAATATTATCATTTTTATGTCTCAGTCTTATAGAATGCGTATTTAACATAAAACTCACCTTGGTGCCAGTTACATTTATGGCACCTCCAGATAGGCTTCCTGAACCAAGTAAGCTGTCTTCATCATTGATAAATACCCTCTCATCTAGTTCACCCTTACAACGTATTGCATCATCGTAATCCTTCTCTAAAATACTTAAACTGGTCTGCAATGATGACTCTTCCATTAAATCTTCATAATAAATCAAACCATCTGCATCAAAAAGAATCAGTTCAGAAGCAAAAAATGAAAAACTGTTGCCAATTATGAAAGATCTACAGATATAAATATGGAAAACTTTTCGAACATACCTGGATTGATATCATCCAGGTTTTCATTTTTGCACTCAGGTGCCAAACGTGGCTTCTTTTTCAAGAGATCTGCTATTAAATTATTGGTCTTCTCCATTGTTTTTCTCAACTCATCTTCAGAAGTGTCGTATTTGTTGCAAAGTGATGCTAGCAAGTCAACACCTTTGTCACCCTTCTTGACTTCATACATAAAAAAATCAGATGTTAATTAACAAGTCCAAACAAAGGAACTCTCCAAGAAAAAAATCTAATGAAAAATGCTAAAAAATGCAAGACAATTACCAAACCATTGAGAGTCATTCAAATTGAAATTTCTGCAGTGAACTGGAACATGAATCATCAAAACAGCCTGAGAAATTCCATTTAATAGTAAGAATATTTCAATCTGTGCTACAGTACTAGATAATCTTGCAAAGAAACACATCTGATTTCATTCAACGGGAATGAATTCTTAGACATGAAATTTATGAAATCAATATGTGGGAAAAAAAGGTACAGTAATGTGTAATTCCTTATAACTAGGCCAGAACCACAGTATCAGTAGTTGATGAAATAAGGGAATTGTACTAACCAGCACAGACACCAAACCATTTGTGCAAGTCACCAAATCTTTAAATCTGCTGAATGCATGTACACGGAGTGCCAAAAACAGCAACCATCCAAAACGATGATATTCTGACAAATATGCTGTTTCACTGGAAACTGCCGACTGTTTATCAACATTTGCATCACTTGTCAAGAAAAGTTCCCGATACGCACGTTTGTAGTGCCTTGAACATTTAACAACAAGATACAATATTATATATGTAAAAACAGTTTTAAGGAAAAGTCTCCTAAAAGCAAAATTGCACTAAATTTCATTTACATCATAGACGATTATGCCCTGTTGCTACACTAGAAGACCAATCATGTAGCAAAATACGAAAGGTTACCTCAAAAAGATGATAAAAATACAATGTCATCAACTTTATATGATATATAGCTCATAACATACTTCTGAAGCAAACAGGAAGATAAATTTATAAATGTCACTGATAACTTTGCAGGAAAATGCAACTTCAAGAAATTCTACAAATCAGCAAAGCACCAAGTCATCAGCCTTCTAATACTTTACTAAGCATTTTCAACACAACTAAACTCAAAATATACCAGAAAGACTCTACTTGCCCTCAAAAAAGAAGTTCTGGAGTACTCAACAGGCAGATGTATGAATACCACTAAATATCTGATAATAAAGTAGTAAAAGCATGTAGCAATATCCAGAACAATAAGCCCCACAAAGAATATGCCTACCTGCTTAAAATGCTCAAGTGTACAAAATTGGCTTGCAATTCCTTTGCCTGATAGAAAAAAGTGGAAGATAAAACATGAGAAATTCTTGCACCAAGATACAGGAATATGCATCTAAAAGAGCATATCAACAAAAAAGTATAAAGCAACCGTAAAACTCTTCCACCTCAAGTCTGTTCTCCCAATCTGCACCATACATATTACTCAAGATTGGACCAGCCTTGACAACATATTGAGGTAACTCTTTAAAGAAGTCCACAATGCTGCAAGTTATGAAATGAGATGACTGGAATTAGTAGGGTGATTCAGAATTAAAACCAGCTAAATGCAAATGAATTAATGAGCACAACATACTTCAGCTTGGCACATCTCAATATTTGGCATAAAGTAAGCCCATTATCATCAGACCTCTGCTGCGAATTATCGCTACTCTTCTCGCTCAACCTCTTAACAGAATACAAAACAAAAGCAAACCAAAACCTCTCCGCTTCTTCCGACTAATAGATAAAATTTTAATTCAACTAGTTATTCAACTTATTCCCACATGAAAATAATTTGTAAAAATAATTCACAAGAAGAAAAAAAGAAAGTTGAGAACTTCACTGTTCCATTCCCAATAGATGAAATATTTGCTGACAGAAGATGTTTTGTTTCTTTGAAAAGCTGCAAAGCTTCTTTACAAGTGTCCTCATCTAAACATAATCCGGTCTGCCAATAAAACCAAATTTCCCATTAAATTAAGAGGAGGCCACACTCAGTAGTCACTAATAATTTCTGAAAATATGGAAAAATAAGAGAAAGAAAAACCAAAAAAAAATTTCAAAAGTTTATACCTTACAAAACTCTGAGAATCGCACTTCAGTGGCATCATTTCCCCCATCTCCTCCATCAGGATGTGAATTGTTGATTGGTGCCATAGTTGATTAATTTGCTGCCACTTCTATCCTAACACTGACTGGGTTACGTGTTCCAGATTGCAGTACTCTGGGGTTACAGTGGAACAGGTTCTGGATCTCCTAAAGTGGCAATCCCAACAACAATAATGAAGATATTGTAGAATGAAGAGAACTTGCAAAGACGAAGAATTAGGAAAGAAGAAGCGGAATCAAGAGAAAGACGTTAGGTGATGCAGACATGGATGACCTAACTGAGCAGTTAGTTACTAGGAACCATAGAGAAAATGAAAGAAAAGGAAGAAGTTGGAGAGAATTATAGGGATGGTAAAAGGTCGAGTACCTACAAAAATTGCACAACCTATGCCCAAACCCATCTAAATATAAGCTCCCAAGCCCGTTTAAATTTAAGCTACTCCGTGCTTAAAATTACATTTTTTATATTCGAACCCATTTTGCATTACCCAAAACTACATAAATACCCATTTAACACAGTAATTACAAGAAGTACTATTGTTACATCATGCATCCAATTTTTTTTATTGCATATAAATAATGTAGTTCTTTTAATATATAGTTTGTAAAGCAGTAAACTTTTAGTTGTTAAACGTTAAAAAGACAAAAAAAAAAAAAAAAAAAAAAAAAAAAAAAAAAAAATAAAGCAGTAAACTTTTAGTTGTTAACGTTAAAAAGACAAAAAAAAAAAAAAAAAAAAAAAAAAAAAAAAAAAAAAAAAAAAGAATAGTATTACTTGTAGAACGTTGAAATCAATCTCCTCATAGAACAAGTCTCATAGGATGAATTGAAAATTAATTTTCACATGAACAATCTTACTTTTGTAGTTGGAAATACATGCATCAAATTCCAAGAAAAGAAAGCTTGTGGTTTTATGTGTGAGAATGCGAAACCAAAAAGAAAAGAAGCAAAACAGAACAGAAAAAACTAATTAAAGGTGTATATGAGTGAGAAATTAAAAGAACAACAAGGAACTTATTGGTGAGCAAAATGACAGCTATTGCAAGTTTATGAAAGTTACAGTAAAACAGTTATTAGTTGGTTTCTCATTGTTGATGAGAAAATTAATTGCAACTAAAAATTAAATTAATTGTTGCAGTTTTTTTGAGATGACAATTGCAATTTTTAACCATATATCAAAAATAATTTTTAATTTTAATTTATAAATCAATAAAGTAGGCAATAAGCTTATTCTTTTTTAAATGAAGAAACCTTTGGAGTAGCCCAAAATAAAATGATAACAAAAGAACGTTTTTTTTTTTTTTTTTTTTTTTTTTTTTTTTTTTTTGTGTGGGGGGAGGGGGGCGGGCCGTAGAAAATATAACAAAATAAATCTAGGCATTTTATGTAGAACTTTGAACTTTGTGGTGGGGGGAGGGGGGGGGCGGGGGCGTAGAAAATGATAACAAAATAAACTAGGCATTTTATGTAGACTTGAACAGCATTAAACATTTCAAATACAGAAGTATAACTAGTCAGTTTCATATCAATACAAAGAGCAGAGAATTCTCATTTCTAAATGACTAATAGCTTGTTTAATTCACCAATGAACATAATCATAAAAATGATGTAAGACAGGAGTTTTCAAACAGGTTTATAGAAATTCCCTTAAGAAAAATAGCAGAACCCTAAGAAATTCCACAAAATTCCCTATTATACAGAGTACTTTTCTAACATACCTACACCTATTTATGCCCACAAAATCAAAACACATAGTCATTTACAGTGAAAACAAAAAAAATAAAAAAAAAATTAGTTACAGAGCTTTAACAGTATCAAAAATACCTAGCAAGTAGTCCAGGACTTGCGAGCCACGGAGCTTGTTGCCGAGATGGCCACACGTAGTGTCTTCATAGTGACAATAGTCAGATTGAATCTTCAGATAAAGGGCAAGAGGTAAAACAGCCACGAGAAATAAGGCAACAAGAGGAGAAATGAGCTCGACTGCTTCCACAAAAAACAACAAATTGAATTTTGTTTGAAATGCCATACCAAAATAGAAACTTACCGTTTCCTTTTGGAACAGATCTCAGAAAATCTCTTCAAAATCGGGCTGATATACAGATCCAGCACCAAAGCCCTAGCTTTAATTCAACAACAGCTTTCCAGATCGAACCATAACACAGAAACAGCAGGGTCTGATTTTTGTTTGCAGATGAAACCCTAAATCTCTCCCTTTCTCTCACTATAAGTTTGGGCCTCTTTTTGAGGAAACCCTATCAGTGTTCTGTCACTAGCGCGGGAAAATCCAACATGACTTTGTCACATACATACATGACATAATGAGACGCATACATGAAGAACCAATGGGGTAGCGACACGTCCTGTGAGTTAGGTTATTTTACCGCCAAATTTTTCCCACCGTTACGAGATTCTCTTCGAGAATGAGATTCGCCGTTATGGCGGGGTTGACGGAGTTGTTATTTTGTCTCGGAAATTGAGAGCGGCCCGTGTGGTTTGTGGGACAGACAAATCGTTTTACTGTTTCCTTTAAATGGATTCAATCATCACCGTAGTTTGGAAATAATTGAATATTAATTATATAGGGATAAAAAAGCAAAATACTTGTTGTTTGTATTTAATATGTAATTTAATTACCCAAAATAAATTATTTAAAATTTTTAGAAATAATAATATTTTTTATTTATCTCATTGTTAGAACTTTTATCATGTATTTATGCAATTAAAACTATACTATTATCATCTTTTTTTTTTTAAATGTACTATTCTTAATCTTTATTTATCTAATGGAAGCTCTTTTTTTTTTTTTCATATTTAAATAAATGCAAAACAAAATCTTAGTGGTTTCTTTAATTTGAAGTTGTTGGATTGTGATTATATTTACTTTTTGTTTTCAATTCTTGTCCCATATAAATTATGGGAACATTGATCTATAGTCTCCTTCTATAAGTACATGGACAAATGTGTGGACCGATGGACTTACTGGTGTTGATTTTTTAGCTTGGTCATAGTTAAAAATTTTTTCATCAGGCTTTTTTCTAATTTTATTGTTTTTCTCCTTTTTTTATAGCTTTTATTTCCACTCAACTCCTAATTATTTTTGAGTTACTTTTGTTTCATATAGGCTAATTTGTACTTTGTACCAAAAGAGAATAAAACTAACGATGTATTCTCTTAGTCCCAAAATATAAGTCGTTTAAGGTTTTTACATAATGATTAAGGAATCAATTAATTTTTTTATATTATAATAACACCAAAGGTAATTTGACCAAATTATCATTTATCTTAAAATCAATAGTTACTGTGAAAGTATTTATTATATCTAATGTAAATAAGAGTAACATTGAAAAAATATCGTTTATTACTTTTTAAATTTCTCAAAACGACTTATATTGTGGAATAAAATAATCACTCAAAATATCTTATATTTTGAGACAGAGTGAATATGAGATAAGAAACATAATTTCAAAACAAATAAGTAATAGTCTAAAAGAAGGGAAAAATTGCTAAAAATTTAAGTAAATATATAATAGAGTTTGCCATATAATATAAAAATTAACGTTGTGATGTGTATCATAAAGAAAAGCATTAATTAATTAAAAGAAAAATTAGACAAAGGAAAACCTATTGTTGAAGTTTTCCTTCAAATTTGTTCCTCAATTACGCTTTTCTATTTGATATATCATTAATATTTATTAGGGACTTTATATTAAATTATATTAGAAACAGACATAAAATTAGGTATTTGTAGCGATATTAGAGCCTATTCGACAATGCTAATTGTTCTAATAGCTGTTAGTCGTTGTAGTAATTGATAACACGTAGATGTGTTTTAATAGTTGTTAGTTGTTTTAACAGCTATTAACTGTTAACGATTAGATGCTAGCTATTTAAACAGTGGTTGAAAGTGAAAGTGTTTGATAAAAGCAATTGTTTAACTGACAATAAATTTAAAATAACAAAAAAGGACATTGACATATTCACCTAAAATTTTCAATTAAATTCATTATAAAAAAAAAAAAGATAATTTCACTATACCTAAATTTTGAGAATTTAAGGGAACAAAAATTAAGAAGTTCACTATTTTTCAAATAAAATTGAAAAATTTTAATATTTTAAGTGATGAATATTTTTAATTTATAATATTTGTGTGAGTTTAAATGCAAATATATAATTAAACATTTTCTTTTCCATTTAGTAATAATTATAAGCAAGCAAAATATAAAGGATGATAAAAGACGTAATACGATAACAGAAAGATTTTATATTAATTAAGGATAATGATAATATTGTAAAAATAATTTTAGTAAAAAGAGAGGAACAGTAAACGTTAGATGGATAACGTTTTAGAAAACACTCCATGGACATCTGAAAGCTACTCTATATATCAAGTTACTAAATATAATAATTTAGAGATATAGTGTTTTGACTGGTTTAAAATACTAAAAGCCAGTTGTTGCCAAAATCGCCTTAGAAAGTCAATTTCTTTAGTTAAGAACTTTTCTTCCAATCCTACATTTATTGTAATGCTCAAAATCGAAACGTCAGTATTCGGCTAATTTGTGCAAGTTTTAACTAAAACAAATTAATTGAAATATTTTAGCTTTAGCCGAACTAATGTTTAACCGAACTCAATCGAATCGTTTTAGCAGAATTAATTTTGATTATTAATCGCATCAAAGTTAAAGAAAATGAAACTTAATTAACTGGTTAAATTTAACCGAAATTTAGAATTAACCAACTTTAACTGAAATAAAAATCAAATGAAGATTTTAATTACCACTTAATTAAACTAAATATTGAAATATTTTAATTTTTAATTTTATTATCTACTTAATAAAAATGATATAGTTTTGAAAATTGGTTAATTCGATTAATTCGGTTAAATTACATTTTAACCGAACCTTTAACCCATCACTAAAAATCTAATTTTTTTTAATAAAATTTTTACCGAATATTTATTCACTGAATCGAATCGATGAACGAATGCTCATTCCCTACCAAAATTTAGTTTTGCACAACAGGATAATGAACCCAGCATTAGGTTTAACACTAAGTGTTAGACTGAGCATCTTTACATCTTAAACATTTTAAAACATTTATTTTAATATTACAAAAGTGACTTAAAAGAATTTTCGGAAAAATCTTATAGAAAAACAGGAAGAGTTTCAATATTCCTATATTTTCAATATTCCAAAATCACAGAAAAACAGTTCTAAGCACTTCTGAAATCATCCACAACCTCAAATGCATTTATCCAAATATATCTTCAACTCATCTCATTAATCATCATCAACATTCAACTCAAAATCACAATTTCTAACACATGAATAAAATTTCAGTTTCATTTAATTAAAAACATTCAAAATATTCTTTACAGGCTATAAAATAATACTGATGTTTAAAATACTGTTTACAAAATATTCTGACTCAATTAAAATCTAGGTTTTAATTATATTTACATGCCACTAGAAATATTCAGAAATTTGAAAGAACTGAGAAAAAGACTAACTGTGTCAGAAATACTGGGCCTCTGAAATCATTGATGCTCTCTATGGATCACCTACCCAATATTATCGGCAACATACGAGTTAACTAAACATAAAGCTTAGTGGTTATAAAGTTTAGTGGTGCTTATTTTCTCTAAAGAGGAAACTACAAATAAGCATTCATAATATCATATAATATCATAACTCAGTATTTTATCACAGCCAAGGCAAAATTCAGCATTTATAGCACAATTCAGTTGCAGCTTTTGCTATCATATAGAAATGCTCATTTTTATATGGATATAGAATTTACAATTTAATAGCACGTGGCAAGTAAACCTACTATAGCAGGTTAATTGATTAACTATCTATTTTTTTAAGTTGTTTTTAAGTATACTTTTTTTTCAAATTTTTCTGGATAAACTATTCTTTTAAAATAGTACAACATTTATTCGTTAATATAAAAGAAATGATTCAATAACTTTTCTTTTTTTATAACAAAAGTTTATATCTTACTCTAAAATAAAGTGGTTCACTAAAATTTGAATACTGCAATGAAGAAGCATTAGGATTGTTCCATGATGTATTGATTGTAGACCAAGTACATTTATTATCGTCATCAAATCTATTTTCATTGCTTGACGTGACATTCTTCTGAGTTATCCTAGTTGCAGACAGTGTATAAAAGTTTAAGAAGGCAAACTTAACTTACAGATGGCTATATACAGGCTTTGCCATTATCACACTAGAACACTTCCGGAGAGTTGCAACCAGCCAACTGTACATGTTCTGTCCTGCAAAAACAGAGAACATTTTGTCTTAAAAGACAGCTGTGCAGTGAAAAGGGAGGAACATTTATTGGCAAGTGACACCCAATCTAAACCTTTAGTCAGCTGAACAATATTTTCTTTATGTCTATGTCATGCACCGCCATTTCTGCAGCCGGTGACACTTCATAAAACTGTTACCTCCAATTGAATGATGAATTAGCAGCGACAACAACAACTAAAATCAAGAGCTGTCTGCTAAGTTCGCTTTATCTAACCATTGGGATAATCTGTTAGAAAAACACCCTTTCAAGAACACTGTCTGGGTTCTCACCGTAAGCAAATCCATTTGGTATTCTCAAAGAAGATAAGAAATTATGCAGAACTCAAGAAATGGAAATATTAATTTTAATATAACTGAGACCACATCAAATGTACTAATGAGCAGGCCCATCCAATAACCTTCGGTTGTGGCATTCAATACCAACCATGCAGAGCAAGAGAATCTTCACTTTTTAGTTTACCGATCTCAGTTTTAGTCTCAAGGAAAAACATTTAACCACTCCCATCCCAGTAATCAAAGAACTCATCCTTTTGAGGCTGCAAAGTTGATATACTTCCCTGACCCCAGCCTTTCTGTACCCGCTTAAGGGCTTTCAGTGCAATTCCACTGCCATCGTCTCTGTGAAACATGGTGTAAAAAACTTAAAAAGTATTACACAGTACAGAGAGAATTGAAATGGGAAATTCAAATTGCATTAATCACAGCTCCAAAAGGCTTCTTATGAATTACAAGGAGCATAATGCTAAGTTCCTTAAGGATAATCAAAGAGGAAGATGTGAATATTTCAGATTCCAAAATGGGAGACTGATGTTGCATGCTAGTACACATATTACAGAGCAACTCTAAATGAACTTCTTGAGAGACACTAGTTAAGAAAAAGAAACTTGACAAATTAAATGTTTTCTAGGTAGAATTGGGTTGTGCTTGTTGATGCATGCCAAACAAATGTTTAGGCACCATCCAGTGATCCAAATGGAAAAACTGTAGCAAGTACACCGCACATGGAAAGTATAATTAAAAGAACAGAAAAGTTTATGGGAAATATTTTTTCAGATTCTATCGACCTGTTCACTGATATGTCTAATTGTATCATAATTCTGTTAAACAAATGTCCAATGATGGTATGATTTTTATACTGAATCCCAATGAAAATGTGATTATAGCTTGATTGATTTAAGGTTCTCAAACAAAAACTTGTACAAATTTTTGAACGAAAAGCAATATACATGAAGGGAAAAATGGTAGCAGTTCACATAACCAAACTATTTGAAGTTTTAGTTCCAAGCCATCATAGAAAAAATAAAGGAGATAAAAGAACAGAAGTAAGACAAATATATACATATACCTGTGCACTATGGCCTGCCAGTCACTTTCACCATCCTTTATTTTGTTCCTATGGATGGGATTCCTAACTTGAGTATAAGCCTTATTTTCTGTCCTACCTTCTGAAGCCATTTCCATCATCCTTCCTGCAAGTTTATCAGCTTCATGTTTATTACCCATCTTACTGAAGCTGTCGATCAATGGCATGAATGATGCAGGGTCAAATTGATATCCTTTATCAATCAATTTATTTAGAACGCCACTGGCAGCTTCCATCATTCCATCCTTACAAAGTCTCTCGATAAGATCTTTATAGAGAAAGTTTTCCAGATCAAAATCTCTATCTAAAGCAGTTATAAATAGCTTGTTTGCTTCAGCAACATCTCCAACAAGTAGCTCATTGAACATTGAACCATAAAGGGCTTCATTGTGGCCACACATATTCAACGCAATATCAAACACTTCATGTGCTGTCTTAAAATCGCTGGCCTTGCAAAAAGCTTTAATTAACATTCTGAAGGAAGAGATATTTGGTGAAATGCCATTTTGCAGCATCTCATCCAACACAGAAGGTGCATCTTTAATTCTTCCTCCCTCACAGAGGCAGTTAAGCACCATGTTGTATGTGGAAACATTAGGAGAAACCCCTTTTTCTTTCATTTCATCAATCATTCCATAAACTTCAAATATTTGGTTTTTACTTCCTAAGCCCTGGATCAGCGAATTATAAGTTTGAAGGGTCTTGTTGCAACCTTTTTTCTCCATGTCCTTGAGTACACGAAATGCAGATGATATTTTTCCTTCTCTGCAGAAGCTTTGTATAAAAGTATCATAAATGGCCGAATCTGGCTGCAAGTTTTTCCCCATCATCTCAATGAACTTCTTCTTAGCATCATCAAGCCTTCCTGCCTTGCATAAACCACTAATTATGGTTGAATATGTGATCAAATCTGGTATGCATTTCTTCGTGCTACTACTATTATCAACGAGGCCAATAAATGAGTTCCCCAAGTTCCCAAGAGCTGCACTTCCGTGAGTCCACATCTCAGTTACAATTTCAATTGCCTTGTCCAACTGTCCACTATTGCACAGGCCATCAATTACAATATTGCAGGTCACAGTATCCACACCGTAACCCTTCTCATTCATCCTTTTTAGCAATTCCTCCGCTTCTGATATTCTGCCCTCCTTCCATAAACTGTGAAGCAAAATGTTACAAGTATAAATATTTGGAAAACAATTATTTCTCATCATATCATGTAGAAGATTATTCGCTTCAAAAATCTTCCCCTTATTGCAGTAACCGTGAAGTAAAGTACTGTAAGTTATTGTATCTGGTGAAATACCACTCTGTATCATTAAACCCATCAACATTCTTGCATCAGAGAGCATTCCATTCTTGCATAGCCCATCTATAACAATATTGTAAGAGTATATATTAGGCTCTATACCAATACCTAGCATCTCTTTAAAAACTAACTGCGCCTCCAGGAGCATTCCTTTCCTGACCAAACCTAACAACCAAATATTATAACTCCCTGAATTCATCATATTGCCATTTCTTTTCATAGTCTCAACCAGAGTCCTGGCTTCCTCTAACATCCCTTCCTTGCAGAATCCCATAAGCATTAAATTATAAGTTATCACATTAGGCCGAGGCAGTCCTAAATCTTCATCAATTTGCATATCTCTAAAAATCCTAGAAGCTTCAAGAATCTTCCCCGAGCTACAAAGAGCTGATATCCTAGAATTAAAAGTCACCACATCTGGAGACAACCCCTCCTCAATCATCCTATCTACCAATTCCTCAGCATCATTAATCTTACCTTCCCTGCAAAAACTTGAAATCAAGGTATTATACACAACCCTATTCGGTGAAAAACCCAAACTTCTCATTTCCCTCAAAAGCTCCAACCCTTTGCTAGCAAACCCAGCTCTGCAGTACCCCCGAACCAAAATCCCAAAACTGAACTCATTCGGTTTACAGCCTTTTTCAGGCATTTTATCGAACAATTCCTGTGCATCCTCCAAACAACCAGAATCACATAACAATCCGATCAAAAGATTGAAAGTATAAGTCTCAGGCGATACACCTGCAATAACCATATCTTCGAGTAACCAAGATACAGAATCAACACGACTCTGTCTAATGCAAGATTTAAGGAGAATATTATACAAATATACAGAAGGCGGCTTTTCTGGAAATCGAAACCTCAAGGACTTGAAATAAGAAATGGCCTTATCTGAGAGATCTGATTTAGCTAAAGTAGTAACTAGAGATTCGAGAGAAGGATCCCAAGTTTCCAGAGATGGTGAATTAATAAGAAGTTGGTGAAAATGATCGAGTTCATTAAGCATTTTAGCGCGAATGAGGATACGGGTAATGATGGGTATTGATTCGTAACGGTGAATTGGTGAGATGGGTAGCGAGAGAATGCGCTTGAAGAGGTGCCATGCGAGTCTGGGATTGTGGGTGTTTTTGAGGAGAACTTTTGTGAGTTTAGTTGTTGGGTCCATTTCCTAACGGTCTACTGTGTTGGAGGCGCGAGAGAGTGTTTTTTAGCTGTACGGATAATGTAGTTGGTTTAAATAGGAGCTTATCTTCGTAAACTCCAATGTACTTTATTCTGAACCTCTCGGTCTAACTTGTTTGTACTTCTATCTTATTTATAAAATGGTGGTGTTTCAGGAAAATAGAAATAGGGATCAATTGTCATTTTCCAACTCTCCCCTGCTTTGTTCTCTTCTCCTCTCTACAGATATTGCTTTCCACCAGCACAAGTCAAGGCACAGCAGCAACGCGAGCTAACCAGTAACTCTGATGAAGTTATGTATGAAAATTCTTTTTCCTCTCATCCATGCTCTGCAATATTTTTCCGTTTGATTTGTTTTTGTTGTCTTTGATTTGTTTTTATGTCTCTTCTTAATCGTTTGTGTTTCTCATCTATTATTTGCTAAGGTTGCAGGAAAGGAATTATCATAAACTAAGTTGGCAAAAAGCGAAGAAGAATCGCTTTTGTAAGTAACATCTCTTGCTTTGGCATAATTTTGCTCTTGGGCTGAGGCCCATGTGTTAGACTATTCTCAATACCAAGGGCATAACTGTAATTTAATAAAGGACCAAATTATTGCCGAAGACACATCGGCAATTATAATCAAAAGACCGTGCAATACAAGTTAAAAGGATTTATTATTCTTAGTGAGGTTCGGTGTCTATCCCTAGTGTTATTCTCGTCTCCCTCGTTCGGTCATTAACTTATCCAACAACTACATCTTAGCTATAAAAATTCTCCCTGCTCACTAAAAATGCATTATCTTTCTTATATTATTCTCAGTTTAAATTCTATAATTATCAAATAACTCGCCTCATCTTTCAATCTGAAAGCAAAAACTTCAGCAATCCTCAAAGTATTATGGCCAGCAATGATCTTCAAATCGCTGAGCAAACCCATATGACAAATCTAGAGAATTTTCCAACATTGAACAAAATGAAACAAATTCCTCTATAAAAGATCCTCAACCCAGACTTATAAAAATTTCTCTGCTATCCTATTTTAGAAGCTCACAAACAACTCAAGAGATATCAACACACCTATAAACGAAGAATTTCCGGTAAATGGATGAGCAATAGAGACTATTGAGGACAAAATCATAATGGAAAATTGAGACAACTTGTATTCTGTCTGTCTCGAACATTAATCCTCACCCAGAAGTATTGAAGAAAATTTCAAAACCAAAGGCTATTTGCCTCCGTAGTGCTCAACTCTATTCTCCAGTCAAAACAGTGCGCTCTAAATGGAGTAATAAGGTTAAGTGGCTCCGAGCTAAGCTTTGGTCGGACTTAGATCTCTATATCTCAATTGCATTTTTAAATGGAATGAGATGGTGGTAATTAGATTAAACAGAGTTGAACAATTTACCTTGCTATTTATAACTGGGTAAGAAATCTAGTTTATTCTAAACTAAATACTAAAAGAATCTAATGCTGAAATTGAGTTCTTTTGATAAAAGGTTCTAATTTGCATTGTTTTCAACCGGATTTGTTAACTCACGAATCGGTTGTTGATCCGATCCGGTCCTTTTTTTTTTTTTTTTGCTAAGACACACACACCCGAAGATTGGAGTTCTTTTCGAACTAAAGGTTCTAATCTGCTCGCTTTCCCAACCCCGAACATCTGCTTACACTCACGAATCCGGTTGGTTTCGACTCGCATCCGGCTCTCTTCTTTCTCTCTCTTCTTTTTGCGTCGGCACGATCCGGACAACCTCTCTCCCAAGACAAGAACGCCCTTAAGTCCCCACTCACTCTAACTATGGATCCAAGTGCTTCGCACCACATTGCTCGCCGCTTAATTTTAATAAAGATAGCTCTCCTAGTTTAAGTCATCCACAAATGTGTTTTACGTATCCTCGTGTGTGATTTTCTGATCTGTCTCTAAATCTCACTCTCACACACCTTTTTATCTGATCTTGTTTGACATTATACTCACATATTTGTTTGGATAAATAAAGAATTGGAATAATACCAATTATAAATTAAGTACTCCAGGCGAGCTTGATACGTTTGAAAAATACATATTACCGATGATAAAACTGATTTGACCCACTGTTGCACCCATCTCAGATTCATGATGAACTAGTAATCCCGTATTGCTAATATTCAACTTATGACGACGACGTGCCATTCTTGATTTGTGGTTCATTGTTCCTCCCTTGTTTATTGTCATTTACTCTTCGAAAAACTGGAGGCGGCCACAAGCCATTTGAACAGTTGATAGGCAACCCTCATCATGCGTAATGTCTAACCGGAAACCCAAGGAGAGGCGCCCTAGTAACAAATCCTAAATAATATTCCAACCCCCTGAAATCTAAAGCTCCCCATCAAGGCTGCTTTTGTTTCATCATTTCTGAAAATAAGGCTATTTTAATATCGCACAAAACGGCAACAACAGCGCCTGTCATATGCATCCTGAACTACCCCCCACTCCCAGCCCACGTTTTCTTAGAGAAGCTCGAAGGCTCATCCGTTCAACCTTCTGCTCCAAATTACTCATTGGTTCTTGCCTGGCGGAACCCCAATACCAACCTACGGTATCCCAGCACCTGAAAATCACAACCCAAAGAAATCCCTACTGCAATGCATATCACGCCCCTAACTACCCCTTGCATTCTACGCGCCACATACCCCGTCCCTCCCCTGCGGACGCAATCACATTTCAGTATTAAAAGACATAATGCCCTCTTCTTCTTTTTTTCTTGAGATCCGAAACCACTGAAATGCCCTTTTGTTCTGGTTCGTTGTCGAAGGCTTTTTACCCCACGCCCATCATCCATAACATGACTGCAAGTCACTGGAGTCAGCACAGCATTAACTCGCGTCCACGGTATATGCGGTCCTTTTTTTTTTTTTTTTGTGCAAATCGGACAACTTTAATTCTAAAGAAAAGAAGTCTAGTTTTTCATTATAAACTAAATGGATCAAGTGGTTAAGGCACAAATGTGCCGTTTATTTAATAAAATAGCTAAAAATTATTTAGTATACAAATGTTTTATATTTTGTGTGATTTATGATTGTTTAAATATTATTATAACACTTATTTATTATCATGTTGAATATATAATATTTCGTTTGGATAATAAAGACATTGAATATACAATTATAAATTAATACTAGGCGATGAATAGTTTGAAAAATAAGTATTAGATGATAAATGATTTGACATTTGACATTTAGATGATAGATGAATAGTAATGTATTTAATATTTAAACTTATAATGAATTGCATTTTGATTGGTTCATCCTCCTTGTTATATGTCATTTACTTTCAAAAAAATGGAGGCAATAAGCATTTGAAAAGTTAGTAGAACCTATCATGTATGTTAAGGAAACAAGGGAGGGGATAGTAAAATCTAAATAAATCACCTGAAATTAAAGATCCATATCAGGTGTTTGTTTCATCATTTCTGAAAATAAGGCTATTTTAATAATGACAAAAGTAAAAAAGCGCCTGTATGATCTGAATCACCAATCAGCTCAGTTCTGAAGAAGCTGAAGGCTCATCATCTTCAAGTTTCTCAATTACTGATTGTCTTGCTGGCGGACCAAACAAACTTAGTATCACCTGAAAATCACAACAAAAAGAAATCTATGATGATTATACGTCCTCAATACCTTATTTTATGGCATAGCTCCTCCCTGGGAGCAATCACATTCATATAAAAGAATAATGCCTCTTCTTCTTTTTCTTGACGATAAAGCACTAATGCTTTGTTTGGTTCGTCTTGGAAGGTTTTAAGGCCACATAAACAGAGCAATAACTGAGTCAGACAGATAATGGTTACGGTAATAGATGGATCAGTGAACTTACTGGTAGAAATACAAGCCCATGCAAGAAACCAATAAGAACCAGTGCCAGATACATCTGAAAGTAATAAACCTGTAGAACCCATAATACCATTTTTATGTTTCTGAACCAATCAAAATTATAAATCAAGGACCAAAGAAAAGAGGTAGACCACAAAAATCTCTGATCTTGAGAAGAAAAGGACGATGACCCCAACAAGCTTTGTCAGTGTAATTCCACTGCCAAAAGAAAATAATAATAAGTGAGCAGTTAGATTGCCAAGTAAATTCCAAATACATCCTAGCACAAAAATGGACCATAACAAGGGTTCTAAACAGAACATTGCACAAAAGAATGCTTCAATTGAAATCATGATTGCATCTGCTACGATTATACATTAATTTGTAGGAATTAACTTCAGAAACTGATTGCACAGTGATTATGTCATGATCCAGAATTCAGTAGGCAGAATAGGGTATAAGAACAACCTGAACACAGAAGCTCCCATGGTACCCAGAGCCTCCTTAGCCCTATGGTTCCTATCCCCATGGCTTACCTGTGCGAAACAGCACAAGATTGCAGGATATTAGTAACTGAAAATATAATCTAGGATGGTATATCTGGAAGACTTGGTGTTATATATTGGGAAATAGAAGTGGTTCTTACTGTCTTAAGGTTACTTAGCAGGTAAATATAATGCGTCTATAACATTCTTTCAATCACAAAAGCACAAAAATATTGAAAAGAAAGAGAAATAAAATCCAGAAACAACTCTTAACAATCATGAACTCCCACAAATAAGCTGCTACCTAGTCCAAGTCTCCAAGAACAGAACCCAAGAACAGAATCCAAAAACAGAGCCTTAAGTGATATTACAACAGTGGGTAATACGAACCAAAAAGGCATGTGCAATATGCACACAGAACTCGACAGCAATTCCTATTGACATTATGAGGTTTACAACAGACACTGCATTTAGTTGTATATCCAGGATCGCCATTACACCCTGCAGCATTCACATGAAATCCTTTGTGAATCTACAGTTGAAATTGAAAAATAGCAAGAAATGAAAAGATTTGGAGAAAAATAGAATTTCTTTTAATTGAAATCCACATGCATAGAGGAGTTTCAGTTTTCATACCATCAGATCCACAACAATCATCATCAAAACCAGCAGAATGATAGCTGAACTCCAGAAACTGTATTGAAATGCAATCCCAGAGCATCCAAATTAAAAATAAGTCAATTAAGATGGTAAAAAAATGGTGCCTTAAACAGTAAGTGAAAACAAGGATCAAGGGCTAGAGAGAGAATTCAAACCTGGAAGTGATAAGCAGGCAAACGATAAATATAACACCTGCACAATATCACATGACAAACAAATGATAGCACGCACAAGCTGAAATACAGAAGCTACCCAAAGAAGAGAACAGAAAAAAGAAAATGTGGTGGAGCATTAACAATAAAGGAATAGTCAACACACAGGAAAATATCACTGACACAAATGCAACATACTAAAACAAGTGAAGGAAATAGGAAAAGGGAGAAGGGGTTGATATCTATTGAAACTAGTATTTCAATAGCATAAAACATTGTAGCAATGCTCCTATTTCAACTGTTAAAGACTTGCACATCAGACAAAAACAGAATTGCAATGAGTGTTTTTTCGTAAGAAATTAGGTTGCCAAAAAGACAACCTAAATTAAAGAGACCAAATCAACCTGACACCATTTCGGACATTCATAGCAGGCATCACATACACATCCCACTTCATTGATGGTGGATATAAAACACCATAATATATTATCCTATCATAAGAAATGGAGTGCAAGGATGGAAAGACGAGGAAAAAAGCCCTTGAAAAGCCTCCAGCTCTTTCAGTTTTTGCTGCCGAGACCTTATGAAACTTGTATTCTGTTGAGTCCTCCAACTTGCCAATTAGGTACCACTGAGCACAATTCTTAGAAATTGTTACATGAGTGCAAGACGCACCAGTAACTGTAAGCGGGTGGTTCTAGAAATTGTTGGTATGAAAAATTTCTGATCAAAATAGTAAATTGTCCATTCTGTTATAATTATAGCCAAGATCCAATATTATTGAATCATCATTGTTTTTTTAATTCTACTAATTTCCATATTGAAATTAAAAAAAAAAAAAAAAAACTTGTTTAATTGAATCCACTATAGCAAAACAAACAATTAAATAACTTATTTCTCATCATTGAATCTGGACAATTGCACCAAATTAACGAGTTCGAGAGCAATAAACACAAATCACAATTCAGGGCCCCAACTAAGCCTTAATCCCAAATTAAAGGCTCAATATAACAAAATCAATAAACTTAGAAGGATTTCTATTTTATTTTCCTTAAGAAAGACAACACATTTAAAAGAAAAATAAAACAGGATTTGAAGATTTAGTGTCATAATATGAGAATAGCATCTACAATACTAACCAAGTGCTATAGCAATATTGATCAAAGCAATCCTCCAAATATCCAGATATTGCTCAAAGAAGATGTAGAACACAGAATATGGAAAGATATTGATCTGCATCAAACAAGAAATGACAACAAGTTTTTATTTATTTAATTTTACCAACTAATGATAAAAAGACGAAAAAGGATGAAAAGTGAAACAGATGGAAATCAAAGAATGCAGGAAAGCAAATATAGAGAACTTCTGGAAAAAATACAGGCAAATGATCCAGGAGTTTATGTTAAATCAGGAGCCAGTACTGAACCAATCTCTAAGGATCCTACCAGAGATGTGCATCTCACTTTGAAGATGTAAATATATCAATTACCAGAGATATGCATCTCACTTTGAAGATGTAAATATATCAGTGCAACTCAAAGCACCATAAAATTGACATCATATCAAGTATCAAACATGCGAATAGAATATAATTTCCAAGAAACAGCTAGTGGCACCAATATAGTGCTCCAATTCAGAAATCAATTCAAAAGAAATAGATGCTTTAGATAGAAAAAAGTCACATGATTGACCAATTTAATTGGAATACATAGCATATAAGAAATTAGTTTCCCACTCTAAATGCATTTGATGTAACTTCCACAAGGAAAGCAGTATTAGTCGCTGAATCATAGAAACCAATAAGCACATTTCTAAAGGAAGTAAGAGAAAGCAGAAGCAGAATTTTTAGGCACCTTTTTGCCTCTCATGAGTAATGACTAGAAATGAAAAGATAACAATTTATTCAAATATTTCCATTGTAAACAGTTACTCTTAAAGCCTATTCATACAGTAATGGATACTAATGAAAAGACATCATGGCATGCTGAATTCAAACCTTCAAAGAATCAGAAATTCTTGAACTGAATTCCCTTGCAGCTCGCAGTGCATTAACATAGTCACCCTGAGAAATGTGTCGTACAAAGCAAAAAATAAAAAGGATGCTCAACAAAATTTGCCAAAATTGTACTCAAACTTCTTTTAATAGCTTTGCAGTACTTGTCTGTTAAGTGGCGTGTGATATGTACGAAACTCTGAGGCTCGTATAACACCAGTCTCATAACCTGACAAACAGTTCAAAGCGATGAAGTAAAAAATGAAGCCACTCTACTCAATGAAAGAGAAATGCCAATCTCACTAACCATTTAAATCCACACTATTTGTGTAAGCGCCATGGCCACCCTTGGCACAATCAGCAGATGGCAGAGCATTAAGGAACCACGGAAGCTTCTCCCTAAATTGCACTGTAGATGGTCGATTATTGACCAAATCGGAATGGCGAAAACACTGGAAAACAATCTTAAATCTCAGACCTTGAAATCCTTGCATATGGTGCAAGTAATCAAATAATAATCGACATCCCATTCTCCTTTCCATATAAACTGAGCTATTCAAATAATAATCTGTAAGCAACTAGGGCACCCAGGAAAATACACATGCGCGCACGCACACACACAGAGAGAGAGAGAGATTACCGTAGTACAGTCTTTGCAAACTCCACCTATGTCACAATAACCTTCATCAGGTGAGCAGCAAGGTGGCTGAAAAAGAAAGATCATTACTTTGGTATAACAATTAACAAAACAGGAAACAAGCATAAGTTACTAAAAGCCCCGGTATGTTTGCTGTAATATATACTCTGGTTCCCTTTATTTTTAAAATTATTAATTTTGGTCCTCATACTCCAATCAGCTAGAAGTGCAAGTTTTTGAGGAAAAAAATTTTCATGGACTAACTGAAATTAAATTTTAAATTTTACAGACTAGAGTATAGTCTAAGTTAGAATATGAGGGGTTAAAGTGAAAGATATTTTTTTCGTGATTAAGGACTAAAAATAGTGCCATTAACACACCTCAGGAACCAAAATAATAAATTTGGGAAAACCAGAAGCAAACTTGTCTATTTTAGAAAATCCCAAGAGGATTTACCTAATTTACCCAGAAGAAAAGCATAAAACCATAACCCAGTAATAGTTCACAAAAAGCTGGATCCTAAAGTCTTACCTTCAGATTCTCAGGCATTACACTTGCCAATTCTAGGATATAAGTTTGTTCAAGGTTGTGACAGCAGCTTGGTCGCGTGATGTTTTTGGAGGGAAAACTTGTATTCAGATTAATTAAATGTCAGCAAGCTAATTAGTGGGCTTAGGTGGAAAGTTATGTTTGCTTGTAAGTTAATTAAGTTGAGCAATGGGTTAGATTCACCAAAAGAAAGTTATCATTTTAAGACAATTCTTTTGTGCTTAAACTATGCAGATGCTCGACAATGTAAAAGTTAGAACAACAAATAAAAGTTACAGTTCTCTAAAGGTTCATATTCCTGAACCTGTATTTACTGAATTTGTGAGTTTTCAAAGCCCTCAGAACTTAAAAAAAGAAAATTACTGTATTTAGAGCTTTTTTTTTTTGGGTTGAGGCGAAAAAAAGCCCAAAGAGGTTCGTTTGCAGAACCTGCAATTGTCAAACCATTGGTACGTTTTTTCACTTTTCTGTAAAATTTATACAAAGTGGCCAACAGTAGATAACTGTTCATGTTTGAGAATGTGCAAGTGTCCATTCCATGATCTTTTTAATTGTTTGTGTGCCCATGTGCGTGTGCGAGAGAGAGAGAGAGAGAGAGAGAGAGAGAGAGAGAGAGGGCGAGATTCTAATCCATAAAACTAAACTTTAATTTCCAACATTAAAATACAATCTTCCAGAAAAAGCAGATCCAATGTTGACAAAATTTTAATATATGACATATACATGAGCACCAACCTGATCATCCGGTGGGCAATAAGTACCATTTATAAACTTTCGACAGCAACCAAAAGCCTCTGGTGATATCCACACAAGAAAGTCATCAAGCCAGGAGGCGGCAGGCTTTGCTATGTAGCTTGATTCTGGAATTAAAGAAGCTCTGGAGATCTAAAATAAAATGCATTTCATATATTGATATGTTAATTTATGGAAGAAGTGTTTAACTGTTCGGGGAGAGAGGAGAAAAGAACTTGATAAGCTACACCATGTGACTCTGATGGGCATGACTTTATTCATTATCAATAAAAAGGAATGGCGCAAAAAGGGACAAAAGCAACATGATGAATAGGAATGCATCTTAGTATTGGTTAAATCTGCCCTGGCAAAGCATTACATAGCTTATTACTTGCAGAATTATCGAAATTCGTTATGTTGCCAACCCTAACCACAACCCCAACTTGATAAACTATATTAGTGCTTTCATCCATACTGTCCAAACAACATTCAGGGTTATATTAATAGTATATTATTTTGAGCAAAGTATAAAAAAAATCTGGTGGTTTTACACTTTCAATTAGAGGTCTATCAAATTTTTTTTTTTTAATCAAAAAGGGGTTTGTGTTTTATTCAAGTTGTCAACAATTAAGGATTTGATGCCTTAACACTGTAACAATTAAGACCTGACATGTCAACAACACCACTAAAAATCCAGTGTGTTGGCATCAATTGTTTAATGCGATCTTTTTTTTACTAAGAAAAATTTCCAAAGACTGTAAAGTGAGGAAGTGCGAAAAACAGAGTACCTCTGTATTTTTACCAATTATTTTACACAGTTTCAATCTGTCCTGTACAATCTTTTAACAAGTTCATAGTCAACTGATAACTAAAAATTTTTCCTACTCCAACTACAACTTGTCACTGTTTCATCCCGATTGTACTGTGTCTCTACCAATATAATCAAAAGCTTACAACTTGTCAAACTTGCAGTCCCAGAAAGTAAGGCTATGAAGTAACTTTAGCCAATATTATTGGATAATATGCAATGTTTTGGAATTTGGCCTCGGAAAATGCCTTCAATGGATGTATGACTAATGGCATAAAAAGAAGTGCACACTTAGCATTCAATTTGCAAGTCAAAAATATTTGACCATCAAAATACCTCATTCAAGAGAGAGTTTGAGTCGCACTGACTAATGGAGCATAACTGGTTTGTATGTCTTGATTCCAAGCTGAGTTAAAAGTCATTGACATCAGACCAGATATTCAATGAAACCAATGCCAAATTATAGAATGCAATTGTTACCCAGTAAAAGAAGCAATACACATTTTATAGCAAAACAAAACCTTCACAGATTGAAGTTAGAATAATTTTCCTGTATTAAGGGTCAGCCAAACCTCCATAAATCAAGGTTGCAGATAGCATGTAGCAAAAACAGGCTGTTCATGGCCCATTAAGTAACTATTATGGTTTATCTTATTGCTAGGCAAACAGTTTTTAAAAAAATTGCAAAATGCATTAATCTATTAGATATTAAAGGAGTGTTGGAAAATTGAGAATTCAACTAACTAATGAGCATAAATATATTAAAAAAACATTTTGAATCTACTTGGCACTCAACTCAAGTAACTAGTTACAAAAAAAAAAAATCTTCATAGATCTAGTGCAAACTAATGTATGATATAATAGGTCTATCATAAGTACACTATAAAAGCAAACGTTTTAACAATAGATTTGCAAATGCAAACAACAGTAGTAACTTACCTATTTCAGACATGAAAAATCCTCCTCTTAAATTGATTTTCACCTTGTTATGTACTTGAATCAAGCTCTAATTTCAAGTGTAGACATTTCTTAAGGATTCAAGTTGAAGAAAAGCCAAAAAGGCACCTAGAAGAGGTTGTAAATTTTGGAAGACATGGGTGCTAGAGTTAGGCAGATTCTGTTGTGCTGTTTATAGGGGTAACCGCACTTACCCTCCCATAAAAATATATATAAAAAGAGGAGCACTCACGAAATAACAAATGTACTGACCATATCCTCTTGCCAATGGCAAGCTTTTTTACCCTATTGACAATTTTTACATCTAATGACCAAAATGAGAAAGGTGAACCAACTAAAATGACTTAGGTCATTTTGTGTTAAAGGTAATACAACTCATTATAAGCTCAAATTATTAAATACGCTGTTAATGGAATTGATTAATCTCTCCTAGGGCCCAGAATCTTAACATATTACAAATGAAAGAGTAGAGGTGAATTAGATAAAATGTTAGGACACATCAGGTGAAAAGATGTGTGATGTGGGCTTACTTGGGCTTGGACCAACCAATACTGAAATGTTATTACTAACCAATTAACTAACTAACTATCCACCCTTATATGCCTTTTATGGATGCGATGTATATTCACGATGTGATTCTTAACAATGACCTCTGTCATGGAAAGTCAATCCTTATATATATATATAGCATGATTTTAGGGATTTCTTCCTAAATAGTTTAGGAATCACTTGTATGTAAACTTGCATCTCTCTTTTATGAATATATACAGAACACACAATTCTAATAACATGGTATCAAAGTGATTAGAAAGAAATTTTTTAGGGTTTTGAATTTTTTTTCAATTCAACTTTGGCAACAATTTTGTTGGAAGTCAGGTCACTAATTTTGGGTGATCATTAACCCTCACTGCGTACCTCAAAAGAGTCTCTAGGTGCCAACCTACCATAACCCCAAGGTCCGGTCACCGATTCTCCGGTGAGTGGCTCCCACGAGCCACCATTCCCTCTATTTCATGCGTTGGCGCATGAGGGCATGTCTGATGGTCCCCTATTCACCAATTGCTCTCATCGACATTGACTTGAAAAGAAGAGTGCAACCTAGTGCGTAGGGGTGTTCATCAAACTGCCCAAACCGATCCAAAACCGTGGTTTTAAAAGATTGATGGTTTGGTTTGATTTCGTCAAATTTAAAAATAGAGCTTGTGGTTCAATTTACGGTTTTAGCCTCAAAATCGCCCAAACCGAACCAAACCGCTATATATATATATATATATCTATTTGAACTTTTAAATTCAATTTAATTTTTTTGAATGAGAATTTCCTTTGTATTGACTAATTTGTATTGGATAGTAAATTATGAGATTAATTTATCTTGGATAATAAATTGAATAAGACTTCGTATTAATTAGGTAAATTATATAATTATTTTATAAAATATTCAAAATATTAAAGATTCATGTAAAATTTTAAATTGATATACATATACAAACTATACGTGAGTAAAACTATAATTTTTTAAAAATTTTTAGTAATAGATGTAATTAAATCAAAATTTAAATTCTATATTTATAAATTGCTGAATTATTATTTCACTGACTATAATATTTTCATACTATACCAAAAAAATACATATTCAAAAATTAATTTAAAAATTTTAATAGCTATGCAAAATCACGTGTATTTTATGGCGTAATTTTTATGAATTTATTTTTCATATTTCGTGTAATGTTAAATTTTTTTTTTCTTGTTAACTACATAAATGAGGAAATTTAATTTCTTTTTTTCAAACCGCCTAAACCGCTAAACCAAACCGAACCAAACCAAACCAAACCGCCGATAAAGGTTTGGATTGGTTTGAAATTTTTGATGGTTTGGTTTGATTTTAATTTTTCTCAAACCGCCACTTTAGGTTTGGTTCGATTATTATGTTAAAACCAACCCACGAACAGCCCTACTAGTGAGTTACATCGTGGTTCTTGGGCATCTGCAATGGGTTTTGTTGTTGCGCATCTGTCCATTATTGTCGGGTGATGTTCTGTTAGTGGATTTTCCTTTTCATTATTCTGTCCCATTAATTTTTTGCTTTATGGCATCAATTATAGTAGTTAGCACAGCCCTATGAGTTATTTTATGTTTCTAATTTGAAATTCTGACTTTTTCAGATCCAAGTTCTTGGTTTTTGAAATTTTTGTGGTTGCTGAATTTCTGCTATAATATAGTAGTTTATTTGGTTAGTGCGGTTTGGGTGTTCTGATTTTTTTTGCGGGCCTCTTTCTCGCTCTTATTGTATTTCTATTGTGATTTCGGTATTCTCTTCTTGTTTTGCTACTTTGGTTGTGTTAAATCATGGGTGATGGGAGAAGCGCGGTAGTGGTTGCTAATATGGTTCCAGTAATGACTAAAATCACGGAATACAAACTCAATGGCTCCAATTTTCTGGAATGGAGTAAAATGATCAGTATTTATTTCTATAGCTTGGATAAAGATGACTAGCTGACAAATGATCTACCTAAAGGTGATCCTACGCAAAATTGACTTAGAGAGGATGCTCAGTTATTCTTAGAGCTTTGGAATTCCATTGAGGTAATTAGTTTAATTAATCATTGCAAATTTGTTAAGGAATTGATGGAGTATCTTGACTTTTTGTTCTATAGCTTGGATAAAGATGACTAGCTGACAAATGATCTACATGAAGGTGATACTAGGCAAACTTGACTTAGAGAGGACGCTCAGTTATTCTTAGAGCTTTGGAATTCCATTGAGGTAATTAGTTTAATTAATCATTTCAAATTTGTTAAGGAATTGATGGAATATCTTGAATTTTTGTACTCAAGAAAAGGGAATCTGTATTGTATTTTTGAATGTAGTTGTTTTGTTCGTGATGTTCGTCCTCATGTTAATTGATGGAGTATCTTGAATTTTAGTACTCAGGAAAAGGGAATCTATCTCATATTTTTTAATGTAGTTGTTTTGCTCGTAATGTTCGTCTTCATGTTACCAAACTTGATCTCAAATCCCTTAAATGTGTCTTTTTAGGATATTCTAGACTTTAAAAAGATTATAAATGTTTATCTACAACTCCTAATTTTTATCTTCTATCTGCTGATATCACTTTCTTTGAGTCTACTCCTTTCCTTTCTCCCCTATTTATGATAGTCAAGGAAAGGTGGATAATCTTATGGTCTATACCATCTCTTAACTTGTTAATCCAACCAATCTTTCTGTGGAATCTCCACTTGCACCAACACCAACACCAACACCTACTAAACCTCTTCTAATTATTCATGTTTATTCTCGGAGGTTAGAGGCTCTTAGCTCATGCTCACAGCCAGACTCTTCGTCATTCGATCCAATTCTTAACATTCCGCATATTCCTCATCCTAGCATTGATTTTCCTTAATGCTCTTAGAAAAGACAAACATTAGCGTACGTATCCAATTTCTTCTTTTGTTTTTTATGACCGCATTTTTTCTACTTCTTCTAGCTCTTTCATCATGTCTTTAGATTTCACTTCCCTTCCTAAAACTGTTCATGAAGCATTATCTCATCTCGATTGGCGAGCTGCTATGGAAGAAGATGGCGACTTTAGATGTCAATGGTATTTAAGATTTGGAAACTTTGTTAGTAGTATATGTTGATGATATTGTTATTATTGGTAGTGATACTACAAGCACAACATCCCTAAAATCCTTTCTTCACTCTAAATTTCAGACAAGATTTGGGTTTATTGAAGTATTTCTTAGGTATTGAGGTAGTAAGGTGTAAGAAAAGTATTCTATTTTCCCAAAGAAAATATGTTCTTGACTTGTTGACAAAAACAAAAATTAGGTGATAAGCCATGTAATACACCCATCACACCCAATATACAACTCACAAAAGAAGATAGTGAATTGTTTAAAGATCTTGAGAATATTATAGAAGACTATTGGTAAATTGAACTATCTTATAGTGACTCGTCCTGATATTGCGGATTCAATGTGTTGTGAGTCGGTCCATGTCTAATCCAACTGGCCAACCTTAGAATAGATCTTATGCTATTTAAAGCGAGCCCTAGGATGAAGTATGTTATATTCAAATAATGGACATTCTAATATTGAGTGTGATTCAGATGCAGATTGGGCAAGTTCTCAAGTTGACAGAAGATCTACAGCTTGATATTGTATTTTTGTTGGAAGGAATTTGATTTCATAAAGAAGTAAGAAATAAAATATGATTTCTCAGTCCAGTGAAGAATTAGAGTATAGAGTCTTGGCATAATCTGTGTGAGATTGTATAGGTGTATCAATTGTTGAATGAAGTTGGTCTTAAGTCTTCATTACCTGCTAATCTAGTATTTCGTGAATGCACCAAGCATATTGAGATTGATTGTATTCGTGACAAAACTCAAGAAAAGTTTATCTCCATAGGTTATGTTAAAAGTGGGAGACCAGTTGGTGATATTTTCACAAAAGCTTTGAATGGGCTCGTGTTGATCATATTTGTAACAAGTTGGACATGATTAACTTTTGTGATCCAACTTGAGGTTGAGAGTTAAGGAAAATTACTGTTCCTAATCAGTTAATGATTTATAATCCTAAATAGCCTACGAATTTATTGTATATAAACCTATGTTGTCCATTGATGAATACACAACAAGTTTCCCAATTAATAACAAATGCTAAAGAATATTTATCTAGTTCTTTTCAGTCTTATATGTCACAAAATGGTATTCTTTATCAAACTTTTTGTGTTGATACTCTTGATAATGGGGTTGCAGAAAGGGAAAAACCGACATCTTTTCTAGGTTGCTAGGGCACTTCTCTCCAAATGAAGGTACCTATACGCTTTTGGGCTGATCCAGTTTCTATTACTTATTTTTTGATCAACCGTATGCCTTCCTTTGTGCTCAATGGTAAAATTTCATATAGAGTCTTGTTTCCTTCTAAACTTTTGTTTTTTATTGAACCCCGTATTTGTTGTTGTCCTTGTTTTTTGCTTGATGTTCGTTGACAAGTTACCAAATTGGATCCAAAGTCCCGTTGATGTGTTTTCCTTCGGTATTCTCAGCATAAAAAGGGTATAGGTTTTAACCGTTATCTTATTTTTGTGGATGTCATATTTTTTGAGAATACTCTATTTTGTCTTTCTTCTATACATGAGGGTCAAGGGCAGGATAATGATCTTTTAGTCTACACTGTCAAACTTCTTGTTGGCTCTCCTGCTCCTGCACTTGCTCCTGTTCCTACTCCTGCACAAGCATCTGCTCGCCCTCGTTCTGCTCATGTTTTATTCCAGACGATCAAAGACTCTTAACTCACATCCTTCACTTACCGCTTCAACAGAAAATCCAGTACGTCTACTCAACCTAACTCTATGTCATCCAGTATACTCAATCGGATCATGATCTTCCTATTGCTCTTCGAAAAGGTAAACGCCACATTTGTAAGTTATAATCATTTGTCTTCTTCATCTTCTTGTTTTCGAGGTAACCTAGACTTTGTTTCTACCCTTACCACTATTGTTCAAGGCTTCAAGCTTTGTCCCATTCAGGGTAGATGCAACAATGCCAGAGGAAATGCCTGCCTTATATGCTAATTGAACTTGGGATCTTGTACCTCTCCTTGGACGTAAAATAGCTATTGGTTGTAAGTTTGTTTTTATAGTTAAAGTAAATCCTGATAGGTTTGTTGCTTGCCTTAAGGTTCATTTAGTTGCTAAGGGCTGAGCTAGGCACTTCTATGAGTAGCGGTACTATGAATATATTAATCTACCCATGATAACTTCATTCTTGGGCTGATGGGTTAGAAGCACTAAAAGATCTTCATTCCTCTGACGTATGGGTTTGATTACTCTGAAACTTTTTTCTCTTGTGGCCAAATTGTCTTCTGTCCGTTTGTTTATTTCTTTCACAACTACTTTTAATTGGCCTTTACATTAGCTAGATGTTAAGCATGCTTTTCTTCATAGAGATCTTTCTTCATAGAGATCTTCAGGAAGAGGTTTATACAGCGCAACCGCCTAGATTTGTTGCTCCAAGGAGTTGGGTGAATTTAACATGTCCAGATATTGCTTACTTTGTTACTGTCCGAAGCCAATTTATGTCTTCTCCTACTGTTACTCATTGGAAAACTGTAGGACATTATTTTGTGCTACTTGAAAGGCAATCGAGGTTGTGGCCTTCTTTATAATACTCATAAGCACATGGACATTGAGTGTTTTTCATATGCGTATTAGGAAAGTTTGAAGGTTGATAGAAGATCAACTTCGGGATATTGTGTCTTTGTGAATGAAATCTTGATATCATGGAGAAGTAAGAAACAAAATGTAGTCTCTTGGTGAGTGCTGAATAAAAATGCCACAATTTGCTTGTGAAATGATTTGGATGCATCAGTTGTTAGCGGAAGTTGGTTTCAAATCATCTTTGCTTGTAAAGTTATAGTGTGATAATCAAGCTGCTCTTCACACTGCATCAAATCCGGTATTTCATGAACGAACAAAGCATATTGAGATTAATTATCATTTCATTTGTCAAAAGATACAACAAGGTGTTATCTCTACGGGACATGTCAAGACGAGCGAACAACTAGGAGATATTTTCACAAAAGCTCTAAATGGACCTCAGGTTAATTGGGCATGATTAACATCTATGCTCCAACATGAGGGGAGAGTTGAGGGAAGTCAATCCTTATTATATACATAGCATGATTTTAGGGATTTCTTCTAAATAGTTTAGGAATCAATTGTATATGTTGAGAGAATATATTGTAATTGTATTTCATGTATCTCATCAATCGATTACAAAGGTCTATATATAAGGAATTCCTACGCTAGCTATTTAGGAATACAAATCATAAACTGGTCTATATATAAAGGGAATTCCTACGCTAGCTATTTTAGGAAACAAATTCATAAACTAATTTAGGAATCTAACTCCTAATAGAACTCCTATTTATAACTAAATCCTTAAATACTTCCCCTCAAGTGGAGCCAATAGATGTTAATCATGCTCAAACTTTGTTAACAAACTACTACTTCAGCAAGCCAATACATAACTCAGCAAACTGTACCCACTTCATTATAGCAATATAGAATCCCAAACCAAATAATAACAGCAGAATTAAGACAACACACTTAACACACTTAGGTTGTCGAAACAAATCTCACTGAACCAGAAAACAACTCACAGGGCTATTTCAAGCTTCCATAATCAATGCCTCAAAGAGGAAGCCCATTAGCGTAGATAGTCAGAAACGCGGCAAAGGAAACTCTGGCAAACAGAGCGCACCACTGAAGGCCAAGAACACGATACAACTCACTGGGGTTGCACTGCTCTTGACAACAATTGTCACAACAAAGGAAAAGATAGGTTTCCTCAGCAAATTAAAGCAACAACAGTAGCAGAAGACTGCCCGACACAGCTACTGCCCGACACAGCTGCAACAGAATCGCAACAAACAAACCTATTGAATAAGCCCAAGAATAACGATGCAACTCACTGGGTTGCACGTCTCTCTTCAAGTCAACGCCGAAGAGAGGAACCGGAGTTAAAAAGACCACTGGACATGCATCAGCGCGTGAACCAGAGCAGGAAGAAAGAGGTGGCGAGTGGTGGCCATTTGCTTGGAATCCGGCGACCGGATTCTTGGGAGTCGCTGATCGGCGGCTGGAGAATATCCTGGGGTGGGCAGTGAGGCAAAATACTAACCCTAGAAAGGCTTCCTAGGGTGGCAGTGGCTTTCTCCAATAAGGGAAGTTACGAGAATTTTTTTTTTTTTTTTTTTTTTTGGAATGGAAGGCTCTGATAAACCATGTGAGAGAATATATTGTAATATGTATTTCTTTGTTCTCACAATTCGATTACAAAGGTTTCTATATATATGAATTCTACGCTAGCTATTTAGGAATACCAAATCAAAACTAATTAGAAAATCCATCAATCGATTACAAAGGTCTATATATAATGAATTCCTACGCTAGCTATTTAGGAATACAAATCATAAACTAATTAGAAATCTAACTCCTAATAGATCTCTATTTATAACTAATCCTTAACAGTATATAAACTTGTATCTCCCTTTGATGAATATATACAAAACACACAATTCTCATAACAACCTCAAACTCTTTCCTTGGTGAAAAATATTTCCTCGAGAAAAAAAAAAAAAGTCTCTCTCTCCCCCTCAAAACAAAATAGAAATATTGCATGCCTTTCAAATTCCACTAATTATTTCCCTGCATATAATAATTTTACATGTGGCCAATTCTCATATTAGAAGTGTATAATTAAATATGTTATTTAGAATGTGACATATGGTAGAACTTTGAATGTGAATGATTAAACGAAAAGAGAGGAGTATCTGTTGAAATATTGCATGTGAGAAAGAATTTCTATATTTCTTCTGTTTCAATGAGATCCTATACATCCTATTTATACACAAGTATCAAATTCTAAATAGGAAAAGAAAAGTCAGCAAAAGGAATGTTACCTATAGTTGTAATCCTTCACAACAAAATACAATGGAGGTCCAATTCTCAAATATTCAGAAATATTATTGAAATAACCCTGAGAACAATACAAGTTTTATTGTATTACAGTCAGCAAGAAAGGAAATATTAAAATGGAACCAAAGAGTTAGAAAATAAATGGAAATCAGGTAAGAGAGCTTGAACCTGAAGGTAAGAATCTCGGGGAAGAACAATCTTTTGCTCCAAACCAGAATCAATCCTTGTACATAGTGACTATAAGAATCAAAAAGGTGTAAAATGATATTAAAATAATGCACTTATAGAAAATATAAAGAAGAACAAGAATACTAGAATATGACTTCAATTGTCGAAAATTGAACAACTTACAATGCTTGCCAAAGAAAAGGCTACAAAGGCAGCAACAACAAATATTTTAACTCCCCAAAGCCCAAGAATAGGTGCATGTACCTCCTACAATACAACAGTAATATAGAACTTCATTAGTACAATGTGGACAAGAAAACACACGCACGCACCACCCATTAAGAAATATCAACATTCTGAAAATTTTCCAATAGAATAGTCAACTGAATTAACTAAGACTTAATTCCAATCTAGTTGGAATAGTACATACGGATCTTTTTTTTTTCTGCATTCAGCTAAATCTAGCGTGTCATCCATAAAAAGGTCTAGCATTGATAAGTGTTTTTTACAACTTAAACTCATCCTAGGTCTACCCCTTTCCTTCTTTCTACCAGTTACTTTGATATGTTACCTCCCACACTGATGCAGTTGGAGGGCTATGATGGGCATATCCATCTTTTCTCCTTCTACTTTGATATGTTTGACTCTCCACAATGACACCTTGTAAACTGATAATGGACATGTCCAAACTATCTCAGTTATTCTCTCTCTCAGTTTATCTTCAAGAGGTTTCACTTCTACATTCCTACTCAATCCATCCTCGCATTATCACATCCACATCAAGTTAACATCCTCATCTCTGCCATACTAATTTTGTTCATATGCTCCTTTTTCACCATCCAAAATTCACTGCCATAAATTTTCTTTAAATGACAGTCTACAAGACGTATTCCTTTAACTTGGTATTTATTATACAAGAGGACCCAGCAGTGCTTCTAAATTTCATCCATCTTGTTTTAACATTTTCCAATACAACATAGAATAAATAGTTCTCAACCACAAATTCGTCGTGCATAAAATGATGCATGTAAGTCAAAGATGATGGAAAGAAATTACCTTCATATATCTAGCCAGCAGTCCAGGTTCTCTCTGATAGATGCCTATATTTCATCAAAATACTTTATCAGAGATAATAAAATATTATTATAGATCTATTAATATGAAGTTCAACCTTAATACTCCCTAGGTTAACAGTGACCAGAATAATAGTATGAAAGTCCAAACAGACACCTTCATTTGGCCCTCCAGAAGATGATGGAACCTTTATGCACGGGAAACAATCAATCCTGTTATCCTCAGCTCTCTGACAATCCAAAACAATTAGTGCAACAAAAGCTGTGACTTGCAGAAGGAAGTCCAATAGAACAGCCATAGCTGAAGATAAATGGGTAAAGAAATGTCAATATTTACAAAATAAAAGAATTTCAAAGCCAATCTATTAAGACTTAACAGGAAACTTGTGAACCTGCAAACATAGAGAAAACACGACATGCTGGCATGGGAGTGAAACTTCCAACAGCAAATGCCAGAAATTCAGACAAACTAGCAAGTGTTATTGATGGACCTACTTCAACCAGTGCACTACTTATCCGCTCCTCTAATGACAATTCCAGTGATTGCCGTTTCACAGCATGCACCAATATACACATGTTATCGACTCCAACCTGAAAAAATTAATGGAGGGAAGCAATGAAACAAACTAGAATATATAATTGTCATTCTACAACAATATAGTCAAACAACTATATATGGACAGGAAATACCAAGATGATAAAAAACAATTAACAGATTTGTCGAAACACATGGTTGTACTGTGAGAAGAATTAACTTAGATATTATTTATTTTGAATTTGGGGAAATTTAGTTTTGTTTTACGTTCCAACTTTGTTGTTCTTCCCAACAAGTTATAATTCTTCACTCAAAGCCACTCCTTTTGAAGTGGTTTATGGTAGGCAGCCTCCTCGCGCGTTGCTTATTGCCCCTGTTTATTTATAATTGATGCAGTGGACTGCCTATTAGCACTCAAGAGTTCTTCCCTCCACCATAATTTATTGCATGTCCAACAAAAGATGAAAGCTGCTTATGATTCATGAAATCTTCTATGGAATTATAGGAGGTGGACTTGGCCTTCCCAAAACTTCAGCCTTACTGCCAACAATCAATGACCAAACATAGTTTAATATTTTCATTTGCATATTACGTAATGATAATCCTAAAGGATATTTGCTTCGCATAGACTTGGGTTCGTTAAAAGGTATTGAAGTTTCAAGATGTAATAAAGGTAAATTTCTTATCCCAGAGGAAGTATGTTCTTGATTTATTGGCAGAAACTGGAAAATTGGGTGCTTAGCCTCGCAAGCACTAATGGCCCCACATCTGCAACTTACAGCAGGGGACGGTCAGTTGTTTGCGAATATAGAAATGTGTAGAAGGCTAGATGGAAAACTAAATTACTTCACAGTTACTCGTCCTAATATCGCGCTCTATTAGTGTATTGAGTCAGTTTATGTCCTTACCAATTGTTATGCATTGGGAAGCCTTGGGATAGACTTTATGTTACTTAAAGAAAGCTCCAACACATGGTTTACTGTATAATAATCACGAGCATTCAAATATTGAATGTTCTGTAAATGCAAATTGGGAAAATTCTAAGGTAAACAAGAGATCAACTACAGGTCATTGTGTTTTTGTTGGAGGAAATTTAGTATCACATCGAAGTAAGAAACAACATGCAGTCTCTTGATAGAGTGCGAAATCAGAGTATAAAGCTATCGCACAATCTGCATGTGAGGTCATATGGGTACATCAGTTATTGAATGAAGTTGGTTTTAAGACCTCTCCTCCTGCTAAATTAAGGTACGATAACCCAGTTGCTCTCCATACTGCTTCTAATCATGTAATTTCATGTGCGAAACAAACATATTGAGATTGATTGTCACTTAGTTCATGAAAAGATTCAGCAGAAGATTATTTCTATAGGACATGCCAAGATCAGAGAATAGCTAGGGGATATTTTCACAAAAGCATTACATGAGGACGGGGTCGGTTACATTTGTAACAAGTTGGGCATGATTGATATCTATACTCCATGATGGGGAGTGTTAATAGACTGTAAAATAGGAAAGAATATATGTATAGTTGACTGGAGATTCTAATAGCTTGATCTTAGGAATAGAATCATATGTATTCCTAAATAGGAATGCCTAAACTTGTATAAACCACAACAAATGCAACCATATCTGCAATACAGGATTAAAACAAGAATGACACTTGCAAATAGATTGACACTGAACTTACTGCCAAAACCAGGAAAGGAATCACTTCCATTATTATCAGTGTTGATTTAACTCCAATGACACTGAAAAATCCAACTGATCCAAGTACAGAAAGCATGACAAGCACAACTCCTGAAAGACCAAGCAATACCTAAAAAACATTTCATCAAGAAGTTAGTAGCTATCACCATGTGAGAACTTTATCAAGGCCACAGGGAGAGCAAACGATAAAATTTTAAGAATATTACAAGAAAACAAATTAAATACGCGTGAACACAAACATGACAGCAGATGAATGGATACTTCAATTCGTCTATGGGCCACACACACTGCATTTATATGATCCTTCAATGGCTTTTTAAATGAATCAATGTCATTATTTCAAGCTTCTAAAAGGTGACAAACATTACCCTAATTTATTTCATAGTGTTGAATTGGTCAATATAAAATTTTTTTTTTTTTTTTTGAAAAAAAAAAAAAAGTTGAATTAGAGTTATACCTAGAGGGCGTTATACAATCCTTCTAGTTATCTTACAATAATCCAGTATATGATATAGATTTCATTACGTATGCAGCCTAGATAGTAATAATTGTTTTCCATGTAGCAATCCAAAAATCTAGAAGCAGCCTGCACCCACCATACAACATTTTTAGACAAGAACATCTCTAATCCACCTACCACAGCGATCCGTGCTCTATCTAACCTAGAGCCTTTCCATTAAATGAGAAAATTGAAGGATAAACAAGAAAGAAAAAGCAACAGGGAAACTAAGTATTGGCAGTAAAACCAAAACAAGAGATAGGCGACCTCGTATGAATCAATTAAGAGCCGAAATATGAAATACACATATATTATATGTTGCAAACATATAAACATATACACACAGTTTCAGAGCTAAAGAAGAGTGCAACAGGAAAGAAATTGTACCTTTGATGAGAGATAGAACGTAGACAAATGAAGTACATCACCCAATGTCACAGATATGTAAGCAAACATCACAACATAGCTCACCTGAGACAATTGGAAAGAAAGGGAAAATGACAAAAAAAAAAAAAAAGAATCATCTTTTCTCATTTGTTATCAAGGACAAGTAGAGGGCTGAATAAAGATTATTTTAAGAATTAAAAAAGAAATCAGTTATACCGCAAGCCACTTACAACTACAGTTATAATATCTGCAGTACTTTCTCTTTTCAACTCTTCCTCAATCGAGCTCTCGCTTGAGTATGAAAGAGTGAGATTGCTGGACTGCACCATGGGTAGTAGCTCCTCCTGTCAATATAAATGGTTTGCATTACACCAAATATGCAAAATCCAAAACTTAAAATAAACACTAAAAAAAAAAAAACTAAGGTAACTAATTATTTCAATCTCTTTTTCCTAGAAGAAGGAAAATAAGTAAGCACTTGATGATACAAAAATGCACGTGCTAGCTGCTAAACCACAAAATGGAAACCTGCATCCAGAAAGAACAAATTTCTATTCCTGTTACCACGTTCTCCAAAAACTTAACAGGAAATCTAGAAAATTTCAAGGTTTCATTTCTTTCATAGACAAACTTTCCTCCCAAAATTCTGTTAAAAAATTTATGAGAAACGAATTATTTTCCAAAATTTGTTAGTAAAATAACTCGAAATTTAAGCACGTTGGGAAAAAAAATTCTTTCAGTAAGGACCATGACAATGTCAAACCTATATGTCTCCATATATTTCCCTTATTGTTTTGTTTAATTTAAAAGAAAATTACACAAAAAGAAAAAAAATGCAAACTTGGAAGGTCACTAATAATTGGACTCCACTATGCAATTATGTGATTCTTTATGCAAGATTGTAATGTCACTAGTGCTATAGCAAGTCATAGTTACATTATTTTTTGTACACCGAGTAACTAGGATCCAAATTTAATTCCAGAAATTGAATAGTAGGTATACAAATATAATACTTAATAGTAGGTACATAAATATAATAAAATTTATTCAAATTCTTTGATGTTTAATTTTATATTTTCCAAGAAAATTGTTGACAATATATCCATAGAATTGAATTATACTAACACATAAAGGAAATTACCTTATTGACATTTTGCACTAAAAAATTTTGTACAATAAACATGTCATTAAAAAAAATAATAGAACATATGACAAAGAAAAAAATCCAACCTCAGCGTTCTTTTTATAATTATTCACAAACTTTTATTTTGGAAATTTTAGGCAACACCTTTAAAATTTTTATAATACCATCATCCATCCAAATAGAATTTCACAATGTAAATTGCTTTTCCTCGTCAAAGCGGAAGTTCTATCTCTTAGGTGAGACTTGACCTAAATATGCTCACATGCAGTCCTAAATTTGTTACTTCTTTCTTCATATGTTACTGAGCCAAAAGTTGTCAACTTTTGAAATAAAATATTTTATTATATTAATCTTTGCTTATGGCATTCAACCTAAATAAACAAATTCAAGCCCAGTAGGTCAGCAAATTTAGGATTATTTTTTACATAAATTTTGTCAGTATAGAATAACACAAATTAAGAAGGTTACATCATAAACTGCCAAAAATTGAAATTTGTGATAAAATTGCAAAAGGGGTTAAAAGTTTTTTTTTTTTTTTTTTTGGGAATCAGGCAAAAATAATACAAGGTCCTGCTACTATGCAGCCATAACGTCTTCAGAAACCATCAGAGTTCTTTTTTTATAGGCTCCTCTATGAATTTCTGGAGGTCAAGAAAATGACTTCCCATTTTGAATGCAAAGTTATTTTCTCAAATTTGGCTCATTCCCCACTTGGAACAAATGTAAGTATGTTATGCTTGAAAACAATGATTTCAAATGACTAATTAGTATTCCATTGTAACATTAATTGAATGAAAGTTGGCCAATAATAACATAAATTCATGAATATGGTCAAGAATTCATTTGAAGAGGATCTGAAATGACATCTTTTTACAGGGTATTTCAGATAAACACTCAAATAAAGTTTTTTCCAAAATCATGAACCTTGTAAGTCGTGGAAGGCAAGGAAATAAGTGGAGCAACCGTAATTCTGCGAACAAAATTGCTCGTAAAGTTATAGCAACTAATCGGATCCTAATGAAGTTGTTCGCTATTATTGTCATAAACTCGGTCATACAAAGCGCATTTATTGGGAACTCCAAAATAAACCTCTGCTATATCCGAAGGCAAATGCAGCCACTCAAGATCCTACCATCGCTTCACGATCTACGCAATCAGTTACGATTTCTGTACAAGAATTTGCAAAGTCTTTCCAGTATCAGGCATCCTTCAAGTCTGCCAATTCCTCTGTTGTTGCCATTGCTGATTCAGGTAAACCTACTTTATGTCTTGTAGCTTCCTTGTCGAAACAGGTCACCAATTCTGCATGTACAGATAATATGACAGGTAATCCTAGCCTTTTGTCTTCTTTTGTGGTTAATTCCACATCTTCCATTGTAACTTTAGCTGATGGGTTTCATTCTTATGTTATGGGATCTGGATCTGCTAATCCTAATCCTTTCCCTTATCCTTTGTTTTGGGTCTACCTTAATTTTCCTTCAATTTACTCTTTGTTAGCAAAATTACCCGAGTATTAAATTGTTGCATAAATTTTATCCTAACTATTGTGGATTTTAAGATCTTATGACGAAGTTAATTATTGGTAGAGGACGTGAGTCTAGTGGTCTCTATCCACTTGATGAACAATTATTGTTGTCTCTTGCTTGTGCTGGTGCTGGTGATGGTGCTCTGTCTCCTTTTGAGGTACATTGTTCATTACGTCATCCATCCTTATCCATTTTGAAAAGTTATTTTCACAATTCCAATCTTTAGTTTTTTTAGATTGCGCGTCATGCCAGTTTGCTAAACAACATTGAGTACCTTCTCTATCTCGAGTCAATAAACGGCTATGTTCCCTTTTGAATTAGTTCATTCTGATGTTTGGGATCCTTGTTCTATTACCTCCACATCTATTGTTCGATATTTGTTACTTTTGCTGATGCTTATTCTCGAGTTACTTGGTTATATCTAATGAAAAGTTGATCCGAATTATTTTCTATCTTTTGTGCCTTTTGTGCTGAAATAAGAACACAATTTAATGTTTCTGTATGAACATTACATAGTAACAATGCTAAAGAATATATTTCTAAGAAATGTTTCAAAGTCATATGACACAAAATGATATTTAACATCAATCCTCATGTGTTGATACACCTTCTCAAAATGGGGTTGCAAAAGAAACAACTGTCATCTCCTTGAGGTAGCTCGAACAATTCTTTTTCAACTAAAAATTCCTAAACCTTTTTGGGCTGCTGCTGTCTCCATTGCTTGTTGGTGATATTCTTATACTACTCTTTTTCCGTCTAAATCCATGTTTCCTATTGAACCCTGTATTTTTGGATACACTTGTTGTGTTCGTGATGTTCGTCCCCATTACCAAACTTGATCCTAAATCCCTTAAATGTGTCTTTCTATGATATTCTAGACTTCAAAAAGGTTACAAGTATTTTTCTCCAACTCTTAACTATTATCTTTCCTTGAGCCACACCTTTATGTCTTTCCTCTTCTATTTATGATAGTCAAGGTGAAGAGGATAATCTTTTGGTCTGTACCACACCTTAACCTGTTAATCCACCCAATCCTTTTGCGGAATCTGCACCAGCACCTACTAAAACTCCTCCAATTATTCATGTTTATTCTCACAGGTTATAGCCTCCCGACTCGTGCCCGACGCCAGAATCTTCATCATCAGATCCAGTTCTACCATTCTAGATCCTCCTAATACTAGCATTGATCTTCCTGTTACTCTCAGAAAAGGTAAACATATGTATACCTATTCTATTTCTTCTCTTGTTTCCTATGACAACATTTCTTCTTCTTCTAGCTCTTTCATTATGTCTTTAGATTTTGTTCCCTTCCCAAAACTATTCATGAAGCATTATCTCATCTTGGTTGGCAAGCTGCTATGGAAGAAGAAATGGCAGCTATGGATGTCAATAGTACTTGGGATTATCTCATCCTTTCTTTATTCCCAATTTCAGATAAAAGATCTGGGTTTGTTGAAGTTTTTCTTGGGTATTTAGGTAGTAAGTTGCAAGAAGGTATTCTTTTGTCCCAAAGAAAATACATTCTTGACTTATTGACAGAGCAGGAAGACTAAGTATTGTAATACACCCATGGCACCCAATATACAACTCAAACAAGAGGATATTGAATTGTTGAAAGATACTAAGAAGTATATAGGATTGATTGGTAAATTGAACTATCTTATAATGACTCATCCCAATATTACGTCAATGAGTGTTGTAAGTCGGTTCATTTCTAATTGAACAATTCAAAACGGATCTTATACTATTTAAAGGTAGCTCCAGGTCGAGGAATGTTATATTCAATCATGGACATTTTAATATCGAGTGTTATTCAGATTAAGATTGTGCAGGTTCTACAATTGATAGAAGTTCTACAATTGGAAATTATGTTTTTACTGGACGAAATTTGGTTTCATGGAAAAAGTAAGAAAAATGTGGTTTCCCGGACCAGTGTAGAAGCAGAGTATAGAGCCATGACACAATTTATGTCTGAGATTGTATGGGTGTATCAACTGTTGAATGAAGTTGGTCTTAAGTCTTTAATACCTACTAAATTATGGTGTGATAATCAAATTGCACCTTCATATTGCTTCTGACCCAGTATTTCATGAACGCACCAAGCATATCGAAATTGACTGTCACTTTGTTCATGACAAATTTCAAGAAAAGTTTATCACTAAAGGTTATGTTAAAACTAGAGGCTAGTTGGGTGATATTTCCACAAAAGCTCTGAATGGGGCTCGTGTTGATTAGGGGTGAACAAGTTGTTCGATCCGAACCAAGGCCATAAAATACAAACCGAACATTTTTGACAACAGACCGAACCAAACCGAAATTTTCATCTGAATCGAACCGGTCCATGGTTTTTGCCATTTCAATTCAGTTTTAAGCCCGACCGATGAATTTCTACCAAACTGACACGTACCAAACATCAAATTCAGTTCAAACCGAGTAAACCGCTTAACTGAACCTCCCTTAAACACCGGACCGAACCGAATCAAAATGGGTCAGTTCGGTCGGTAGTTTTGCACACCCCTATATGTAACAAGTTGGGCACGATTAACATTTATGCTCCAACTTGAGGGGAAGTGTTGAGGAAAATTAGTATTCCTAATTAGTTAATGATTGATAGTCCTAAACAACCTAATGCTCCAACTTGAGGGGAAGTGTTTAGGAAAATTAGTATTCCTAATTAGTTAATGATTTATAGTCCTAAAGAGCCTAGGAATTTCTTGTATATAAACCTTGAATGCAAACAAATTCTTTTCAATTACTAACTCGTCAACTAAAGCAAAACCTTAGTTTTACCAATTCAAAAGCTATTATTAGGGATATGGCTTTTCAAAATATTCATGAATAGAACATAATGGAGACAAAAAGATTCATATAGGTAACCCCAATCAGGCTTAGTATAAGGCTTTTTGATACTTTCCTTCTTTTGCTTTTAGTAAAGCAAATAATTTTTCAAAAACTTGAAGAAAAAAAAAAAAAAAAAAAAAAATATGAGATGATGTAACTAATACTTTGGAACGAATCTAACCATTTACTGCTTCCAACTTGAGGGTGAAGTGTTGAGGAAAATTAGTTATTCCTAATTAGTTAATGATTGATAGTCCTAAACAACCTAATGCTCCAGACTTGAGGGGAAGTGTTTAGGAAAATAAAGTAGTTCCTAATATAGTATAAATGAACTTTTTCAAGTCCCTAAAGAAGCCTAGGAATTATCTGTGTATAGTAAACCTTAGAATGCAAAACACAATTCCTTTTCAAATTACTAACTCGTACAACGTAAAGCAAAAACTTAAGTTTTACCAATTCAAAAGACTATTATAGGAGATATGAGCTTTTCAAAATTTATCATGCGAATAGAAACATAATAGGAGGACAAAAGATTCATAATAGGTTTAACCCCAATACAGGGCTTAGTAATAGAGGCTGTATTTTGATACCTCTTTCCCTTCTTTGCTATTTTAGTAAATGCAAATAAATTTTTCAAAAGACTTGAAGAAAAGAAAAAAAAAAAAAAAAACTCTGGCAATGACTTTGATGAAAAAAGAAATTAAGCTTGTAATATTTTTCGTGTATATTGTAACAAATCTCTAAGAGTAAGCTATTTATATGCCAAGATTATCCTGCACGCGCTCACGGGAAACTCCAAGCTACATAAGAAAGTCAAACTTATTCTAGCAATAATATACCAAGATATTTCAACATAACTTTCACAAATTATTTTCCTCTTCCACAAAAACTTGAAAAAAAAAAAAAAAAAAAAAACTCTCAATACTTTGATGAAAAAAGAAATTAAGTTTTGTATATTTTTGTGTATATTTACAATCTCTAGTAGCTAATTTATATGCCAAGATTATCCTAGGATAGGAAACTAGCTACATAAGAAAGTCAATTATTCTACAATAATTACAAGATATTTCAACATACTTTTACCAAAATTATTTTCCTCTTCAATACCCCCTTTTTTTTTTGTTGCTTTTATACTTCTGCTCTAAACTGATCTTAACGGATACGATAACAAAGCATTTATATAGTTGACCCCAACTCGTTTGGGACCAAGGCTCAGTTGTTATTGTTATTCGTGTATTAGAAATGAATTCTTAAGCAGTAAGACTCATTTGAACTCCTTTGTTGGAACAACTGGAAAATGGGAAAAAGATCTCTTAAGTTTCCAATTTTACCCTTGTTAGTAGAAACATACAGTTTCTTTTAGTGAGCTTTCTGGTTTTTCAATGGCTCTCATTAAATCATTTGGATTCTTGTACAACTATAATTTTTTAAATAATTTGTACCTCTAGTTAAACCCACCTTTTTAACTTTTAAGAAGGCGTTTGGTTTAGCTGATTCATATAACTGATTGTTGATTCTTACCAAACAACTAGACTGTAGGTGTTTGGAAAGATTTTTAATCAGCCGCCGATAGCTGATAGAAGTTGCAATCAGCTGTTGTTTTCATCAGTCATGTTTTGAAGCTTTTTTGTATTTACTGGTAGCAGATTTGTATTTATATTATATTTGAACTTCATTAAACTATAAATATAATTACTCCTAAAATTAGTTTTTTTTTTTCGAATAAACAATTTTTTAACATTTTATTTACAGTTGTTTAAATATAAAAATTTTCTATTAAATATAATTTTAAAAAATTTCTATTAGATATTGTTTTAAAAAATTTAATAGATATGTTTGATTTATATAATACATTACATTACACATCATATATAAAAAAATTACATCCTCAATGGTCAGCAACCGCTCTAAAATTTTACCAAACACCATCAGTCATCAGCAAATCGCTCAGCCACCAATCACCAGCTATCAGCTAATATGAAGTATTAATAGCTAAACCAAACGAGTCATAAATGTGATTTTACGACCTTGAAATAAAGGAAACATGACAAATTTGTAAAGACCAGAGGTAGGGAACCTCCACAAGCGACCTATACATGCATGGAATTGATTCTGAAATTAGTGGCGGGATTTTTGAGCTTTTTTCATATTTATGGAATGATTTAGAGAGACACAGTGAGCACAAGGAAAGGCACATTAAGGACTCGTCTCTCTTTTAACTTTTCTCAGGAGAACTACATGTCAACCATGTACCCTCTTGGATGCATGTCACTTATATATTTAGATAGTCCAATGATTCATTTCTCCACACCAAAAAATATATGGAACTCACTTCACTAGATTACAACCAAGATGTTATCACTATAAAATAAACCTTCCATACACTTCATTCAAGGTTTCCCCCTTTTGATCTCATTTGTAAGCTTCTTTCGTTCAAGCATTCCACTTGCACAAGCCCTTTAAGCCTATTAAGACAGTCAACTCCTCTCACATCCTCTCTACTTCATCCCAGTATGTTGCTCACATGCAACATTGTCTCTCTCACTACCTCATCTACACCAAACCAACAATATCACCAAGTTCCAAGTTAAATGAGAGGCTCTTAAAGAAAGTTAAAACCCAGCTTTACCATTAATGACCTTTTTGCAATCCAGTCTGTACATTTTTTCTTTCCGATAACACATGTTACACCTATACATCTCATCTCCTCTAGATAAAAAAAATCCTCACCTTTTATACCCACAAGACTGAATCCTTTTGAGAGATGGTAGAGCAGAGATTTCTCACTCATGTCACACAAAGAAAACCAGTTTCCTAAAACAAACCTCAATAGGGCGGCAATTCTATGATTGCTTTAGAACACATAGAGGGATATATTTTACAGGATTTTTGTGTACAAAAGTGGCTTTTGGCCAAGCCTTACTTTTCTATCTAAGAGTATACTTCTCAAATCTAACCCATTCTCCAGCAGATTTAATACTCAATGTTAACCATACTAAACACCAATAACTTACAACACTGCATGCTACTGAAAGAAAAAATTTGCCTGCAAAATTTATCATAAACTTCAGAGTACCTTAGCAAATTCTCAATTTCAACATTACCATCACTTGCAAGGCATGCACATGTGAGAATTTAGTGAAATAGAATACAATCAGATTCCAACACATTAATGATTTCCAAACAAACATGCCAATTTCCTCTGCATCCCAAATACAGAAAAAGTGAATAAGGATAAAATTTTCCTAAAAACAAATATAGTATTGCCAATTTTCACCTACATGAGTCAAAATATTCCTCTATAAATTGCTTATTGCTACTGAGATTTTAGTGAAATAGAATACAATCAGATTCCAACACGTTAATGATTTCCAGACAAACATGCCAATTTCCTCTGCATCCCAAATACAGAAAAAGTGAATAAGGATAAAATTTTCCTAAAAACAAATATAGTATTGCCAATTTTCACCTACATGAGTCAAAATATTCCTCTATAAATTGCTTATTGCTACTCTTAATCAAACAAGTCATTTCCATCCATGCAAAAATTAGTAAGAACAAACTGAAGATACTTACAATATTTATGCCATGAATAGCAAAATATTGCATAAGAAAAACTTCATAATCAACAAAGAAACGCGCACAAATTTTTTGCTTCATAAATATAAACTAAGAGAATGGAAAAACAAACAAACTATGCGAAGAAGGAAAGCAAAGTGCTCAAACCTCCACCAACTGAATGAAAGCTTTTTCCCATGCCACTGCCTTTCCATTGCCAACTTCATCAATTGCGTTATTAACTGGATAAGTAACAACAAATGCAGAAGCCTGAAATTGAAAATGACTTCTAAGTGTTAGCATATGTTCATAGAATCATATTTCTAAGGAAGAATGGAGAAATTACCTCAGTGTAGTTATTCCCTGAAAATCCTCCTAAGGAAGTGCTAGGATCAAGGGGAGCCTCAAATGCACTCAAACATGTCTCCGCAGAAGTGTAATGCTGAATGTAGAAAAATCAAAGCTATGAAAGTCACTACGCAGCTAGTGATCCAGTGAAAAACAAAATAGAAGCAAGGCAGTAAAAATGAGCTTCAAATAGACCAGAAATAAAATAAGAAAGAAGTCTTTGACCCTAATCCACTAATTGAATCAAATTTGATAATGAGAAAAATTGCAAAGACATTCATTTTGGATAAAGGATAACAAGAAGCTCTCAACCACATGTAACTTGTTGCTCTGAACCATATGTCAGAGTGTCCATGTCCAATATAAGAACAAATAAATCGAGACAGAAAAGTTCACAATTATTAGGTTCTTTATCCTGCAGCTATAGTACTAGAGTCTTTCCATTTGCATATTTGCCAAGTGCTGTACAAAACAACTTCACAGAGGAACCTCTATGATCATAAAATTAAAACAACTGCATCTTCTTAAGCAAAACAACAGACACCCAGGCCCATCCCACCAATTAGTATAAAATCTTAAATCATTTAACCAATAACTTTCTCCTAACTAGGCATGACCACAGTTCGGTTTCATACCGGAACAGAACTGAAACCGAACTGGTCAAAACCGGAACCAAATAGTGGTGAATGGTTAAAGGTTTCAAACTGTAACTGAAACCTACTATTTAAGGTTCGGTTGCAGTTCTTTATATTTTAAAATTAAAGCCGGAAGTTCCAGTTTGAATCTGTTAAAAAAAAAATTATACTTGACTTTTCACTTTTAAGATTACTTTCAATTTTCACTATTAAATGCAGTAATTGTACCGTCACCTTAAATTTGTTAACATAAATATAACTTGTAAATTGTAAGTGGAAAGAGATGAAAAGAAAAAAATTGTTGCTTCTTATTTAAATTTTTAATTTAAATTTTTTTCACTTTATAATATACATTTTTTACAAACAAATTGTAGAATTGTTCATTTAAGGTTTAATTTTTTTTAAACTCTCAAATAAAATAAGAAGATATTTTTCTCTTTGATTTTTTCTCCTTTGTTTTGTTATAGTTTTCTTAATAAATTTTAAAACTATTTATTAACTCTTTTAGTCATTTTTATTACTAATACTTATTTTTAATTTTTTTTTTTATAATTATTTATGCATGCTAGAAAACTAAATAAGGTTAAAAAAAAAACCTTGAATAAACTTATCTGACTCGGGTTTAAAACCTTAACCGAACTGAAACCAATGGTTTTGAAACCGTATAAAAGTGGTTCAATTCTGGTTCCACCTTCTTTGGAACCAGAACGGGCAGTTTTGAAATCATGGTCATGCCTACTCCTAACAAAATAAACCAAGGAGAGTCAATTAACATTAAGCTATAACTGGAGAGGAAACAGATGACAGATTCACATTGCGCAACTTTTAACTGAGAAAAATACTACTTTCAGAACACTTCCTTGTTGCCACCACTGAAAGGGATTCATCTTTCAGAATACGGCATGCTTTTTTGTAAATTTTACCTTTCATGAATAATTGGGGACACCGCACATGTATAAAAAGATGTTCCTTAATTTCTCTTTCTTCATTTTTTTTCCTTTAGTTTAGTTGTTTCTTTTACTAACATTTGCAGAAGAATTCACAGTAGCAAATATAATCTAAAGCATTTCCATTAAGAAAAAAATAACCAAAACGCTAAGGTCATTGGGATATTATTTCCATATTCCAAATTATGCAATTAGCTTTGTTAAGGAAAGTGAAAACTACCCCGATAAACATCATATGATGCACACGCATGCACACACCCACCCCATAGCACATAAGAAAGATTACAGGAGCTTTATAAATGGAGAAAGGAAGGAGAAGAGATAACGAAAAAACCTGGAAACAATATTCTACATGTTGGATTCCTCCATAGGGATCATAATTTTCAGGGTCCATTTTAAAATACTATAAAAGAAAGAAAAAAAGAAATGTCAGTACTCAAAAACTAAAAAACATAACTGTATAATTGTTAACTTACTAAGAGGACACTGAACACACATCTTAAAATCCACATTTTAAACCTTTAAAAATAAAAATATTTGAACATGGGGCAGAACAAAGACTTCCCCTAACAATCCCGGTTCATCAGCTCTTATCATTGCCTACCATAACAAGCAAATGTGCAGATGCGCACACTTCAAAAATGCAAACATAAAACTGTAGCAACATAAGAAAACCTGTAGAACACTTTGAGTTGCACAATCTTCGCCCAAAGGCTTCATGCAAATGTCAGTTAGAGATACAACTGAGCCAGAATAATTTGCACGTATTGCATCAACCTGTTACAATTGAGATAAATATAACTATATTTTTGACTAACCAAAGAAAAAAGATCAACTTGTTGTAACATAGTCAAGAAGAGTTGAGAGGTAGCAAAATGCAGTCAGAATACCTTCTTCTGTATTTCAAAGAGTAATTGTATATTTTCATCTGTAACAATAGCAGGCTTCTTTTCGCGCTTTGGATCATGCAAGGTTGCTAGTATAAGCTGACAAACAAATACAGGTGACTCCTTTAGTACTTCATGCAAAGTGCAAAAGAATCACCATTACTAAAACAAGGGAGAGAGAAATATTAATAGACTAGTTATCAAGGAAGAAGAAAAAACAAGAGCACAATCAGTTTCCACCAAATGACATATGGAAAAGCGTAAAACCTACAGGGCATTGGTGGAGTGAAAAGAAAACTAGGAAAGAATGAAAAAAAGGGGGGAAAGACACCCTTATCAACCTAAATTTAATAGTTGACATTACAAAGTTCTACTGCCATATCCCATCATTAATTACTCACAAGAGCTAAGACCAAACCTTAGTTAACCTTTCCATGAAAACCACAGCTGAATTCCCATGACCTTGTGGTTTCTGTTAAATATGGGCCCTAGAGGGCTTAGTCAAATTCCTTAACAATTTATTCAATAATTTGGACTTACCTTTAGCATAAAATGGTCAAACTATTTTGGTTGGTTTACCTTTGTTATTATATGTCATACATTTTTTTTATACTCATCCAATTTTTTTATACATATCTAACCTTCCCCCTAAAGTGGCAATTAGGCCACTTGACAAACATACGATGGGCCAAAAAGGATCCGTCAAGGATGATCCACTCGGGAATTTCCTTCCTGTAATACAGGTTCCAGTCACAGGCTCTAATACCATGTTAAATTTGAGCCTTAGGAGGGATTAATCAAATTCATTAACAAATTTAATAATTTTGGCTTATAATGAGTAAGCCACTTGGCTCACCTTTCGCACAAAAAGCCCTAAACCGTTTTGGTTTGTTTACCTTCTCATTATATGCCATACACTTATCTTATATTTATCCAATGTGAGATTAACCCACATATATCGCCAGTTTCCACACCATGTTATCATCAAAATCCTTGAGCACATTGGCTTTTATATTCCAATACATTTTTGTCTTTTTCTTTTCTTTTCCCCCCATGAAAGGAAAAGCAATCATCAGGAGATTATAGAAGAGCAAACTAAATTAAAAGTCATTCCGTAGAAAAGCCATGTATCATTCACAAAAATAAGAATTATATAAAAAGAAGTCGTCTGGCTGATAGTTTCTGCAGGCCTAGTGTCTGACACCTAATCATTAGGCAATCTCTATCTTGCAAGTATGTTCTTGTGAAGAACCGCATCAAAATACATACACATATACAACCCAGATGATCAAGATCAACTCATTTCTTTTTACATTTTTCCCTTTGGTTTAACTTCTTTCAAAAGCACGGGTGATAAAAGTTAACATCAGAAATTACACAAAACAAGGTAAAGAGCATAGAATCGAAAGAATAGAGAAACCTGTTCAATTCTGTAGAAGGGGGCAAGGTGACTGTCAAAAAACTTTTTCTCCTCTGCTGCCTTACTCCCGTGACCTACCCACAACTAATAACCATATCTGTCAAGCCTTAGTCAACCTTATGCTGGACAGGCGAATTACCAAAAATAACACTAAACTGGATAAACCAACATGCTACAAAGAAAATTGTAAAGCAGATAATTCTGCCAATTGGAAGAATAACAGCAAGAATGGTTTTAAAAAACAAAAAAGAAAGTTCTATTCGGAAAAAAACAAAATGACTACGTAAAAACAAAAAATTCTATTCAGCAAAAAAAAAAAAAAAAAAAAAAAAAAAAAAAAAAAAAAATTTTCCCTTGGTTTAACCTTCTTTCAAAGCACGGGATTGATAAAAGTTAACAATCAAAGAAATTAACAACAAACCAAGGTTAAAAGAGCAGAAATACACGAAGAACACCTAAGAGAAACCTGTTTCAGTCTGTAAGAAGGGGGCAAGGTGACTCGTCAAAAAACGTTCATTTTCTCGACTCTAGCTGCCATTAAACTAGGGCCCGTGAAACACAATATCCCCACAACTAATAACCATATCTGTCAAGCCACTTAGTCCCTTATGCTAGGACAGATGCCGAAATTACAAAAAATAACACTAAACTGGATAAACCACATGCTTACAAAGAAAATTGTAAGCAGATATTCTGCGCCCAATTGGAAGAATAACAGCAAGAAATGGTTTTAAAAAAACAAAAAAAGAAAGTTCTATTCGGCAAAAAACAAAAATGACTAAGTAAAAACAGAAAAAATTACTAGTTCAGCAAGAAAAAAAAAAAAAAAAAAAAAAAAAAAAAAAAAAAAAAAAACACCCCGAAAAACAAAGAAACCGAGACAATAAACAAACATCAGTTGAAGCAGAATAAAAAAACCAATTATGTAAATCCACAAAAATCCAAGCATCAAATAACCACAGAGGGTTGCCCAAGTTAAATAACCAATAAAGTGCAACCAAAAAACAAAGATAATGACAGACCACAATGGCCAAGAAAGGTAGGCTTTAATGCTGGTATAATAATGAAAATTCCGAGTTTGCCAATGATTATCTAAATTATAATATGAGAAAAAAAAAGCAATATACTAAAATGATAAACATTACTGTGAAACAATAAACTTGTAGGTAAGAAAAAAGAATAAAAAATTCTTTTAGATATCGACTTTAAAGCAATAAGAGATTTCAATCTTGAATTAACCTTCTCAAGTCGTCCGGGTCCCTACTCCTCTCACGTCAAAATGACATTAAACGCCCACAACAGAAGTACAATACAAACTGCCAAAGATAAAACAGAAGAAGTGGGATTTCCTGAAGCACCCCATCGTACCAGTACTTTGCCACTGGATGTAACAAAGAAAATTATTCCAAGCATAGTTACATAGTCCTAGAAAAATATGGTCAAAGTGCGAAAAATTTTAACCATGTTAAGTTTGACCATGTACCTTACTTTGTTACAAAAGAGAACAACCTACGTCTTAAAATCACCTATTCCTCTCCATACATTTGAGGAGCAAAACCCCAAGTGCCTGCTATTACAAGAAACATAGATTACCACAATAACGAAGGAACCAAAATCCCAAACAGCATTAACACCTTAGCGCTCAGACACATGTCCAGGGAAAATAAAAGGTCAATGCCCCAAAAGGGGGGAAGGTGAAGCACATAATCACTTAAAATAGCACCCAGGTAGACACGTAGCCAACTAGTCATTGATGACCCAGATATTTCGGGCCAAAAGGATCTGGATAGAAATAAGGCTTATTGGGAACCGTAAACCAATAATCCATATCAATTATTAAAAAGATGTTTCTGTTTGGATTCACATTAAACAACAAAATTTGTAATAGATTGTATCAGTCGTTAAAAAAAAAAAAAAAAAAAAAAAAAAAAAAAAAAAAAAAAAAACCCGAAAACAAAGACGACAATAAACAAACAGTTGGAAGCAAATAAAACCATTTGTAATCACAAAATCCAAGCATCAATAACCAGAGGGTTGCCAGTTAAATACCAAATAAGGAACAAAAAAAAAAAGATTTGACAGACCACATGCCATAGAAGTAGGTTTATCTGGTATATAATGAAAATGAGTTTGCCATGATTATCTAATTATAATATGAGAAAAAAAAGCATATACTAAAATGATAACACAATACTTGAACAAAATACTTGTAGGTAAAGAAAAAGAATAAAAATTCTTTTAGATGACTTTAAAGCAATAGAGATTTCAATTTGATACCTTCTCAGGTCGGGTCTCCACTTCAAAATGAATTAAACCCACACAGAGTACAATAACAACTGCCAAGGATGAAAACAAAACAAGAGTGGGATTTCTAGCAACCCATGTACCATATTGCCTGGATGTAACAAAGAAATTATCAGCATATTACATGTCTAGAAATGGTCAGAAGTGCGAAAAAATTTTACCTGTAAAAGTTTGACATGTATTCTTGTACAATAGGACGTTTAAACCTATTCCTCATTTGAGGAGCAACCCCAAGTGCCTGCTATTACAAGAAAAATAGATACAAACAAGGACAATCACAACATTAGCCTCAGACCATGTCATGGGGAAAAATAAAAAGGAATGCCCAAAAGGGGGGAAGGTGAAGCAAATATCACTTAAAAATAGCACAAGCACAGAATTTGGCCAAAGGACCTGACTTAGAAATAAGGCTTATTTGGACCTGTAAACCATAAATCATATCAAATTAAAAGAGATGTCTGTTTGGATCATCTTAACACAAATTTGTATAGATTGTTCAGCTTAAGATGAAAGAGGGTGAGAGGACCCGCCAAATACTCCCTTTTCTCTTTGTTTTCTTTCCTACTATAGACCTCAAACAGCTTGGTCTCCAAAGAAATTACGAACTCCTAATTTCTCCAACCTCCATAAAGTTTTTCCCATGTCCTGTTGTTATGAAATTTCTTGACTACCCAGTTATCAGAAATCAATCTCTAGTATTTTCAGCAATGTACTCTGCTTTTCTGGTTCCACAGCAAAGTTCTATCAGTGAATCCAATAAAAATGCATCTTTCACTCAAAGTTCATTGTTTGGTTACTATAGTAGGTATCCCTAGTAGCACCAAAAGTTCATTGTTTGGTTCCTTCAATAGAGGAATAAGTAATGGTTGAGCACAATAAAATAGGTGAAGTGATTGGATTTTATATTCTGTTCCAAGCACTGCTGGATGTCATTCCAAGAGCTGAAAATAAAAAATAAAAAAATTTGGCGAATTAAGGGAACTGCCTGATGAGTTTCTGATCCCTAACAACTGTCCTTCATTAGATAATAACACAAAAAAAATAATAAAAAGGAATGGTCTTAGGCATAATGCATAGTAGGGCCACACTGTAGTGATCTTGAACAGGAACCCTGCAGCGATAGATAGAGTCCCCAAAAAAATACAACTAGATCAAGCACCATTTATTTCGTAATGGTTGTAATGGGTCCATTTCACATCTCTCGTAAGACAAACATGGGGGAAAATATGATATTGAAAAGGTGATTAAAAGGAAGAAGAAATTTATCCACCTTTCTGTCTAATAAAATATTACTAGAATCATCTTCGCCTTCATCCATAAATTTTAACAATGGTTCTTTACTAGACGCAGGTCTCCTCCTTTCTCTTGTCTGATGAAATAATGCCCACCCCACTAACGCAGAAATCAGTAGAATATACACAATTGCTACTGAGATATCAATGCATTTGACCTGCAAGCATTAGTCAACTGCACCGAGTGAATTACACATCAAAAGGCCTGTTCAATTATAGGTCAATTAAATAATACCAATGTCATTCCATGACCAACCACTGAACCAAGATAATGGTCAAAATAAAATAAAAGAGGGAAAGTTGCTGCATTTCCAAACCTGAAGGGGTCCAACTGTGATTGAACAGGAATCTTCTTTGTGTGGAGTAGGAGGCTCTGAATTTGAGCAGATTGGAGATGAAGGGCAATCACCACAAGAGCAGCCCAGTAAATTGTCTCCACAAGAATATGCAGGCACATCCATAAGCTTCATTTCAGATAAATCAGGAACGCTTGACTTAAAATTGATGGCGTAAGGTGACCCAGGAAATCCAGGGGGTGTTTTCTGACCAATAAATGCAAGCCATTCTGAACAAAAGGAAATAAAAGCATTAGAACTTGGACTCAGTCAAATAATTACCTAGCAGAAAGAGAAGCAACCATTTTACATGACAGATGGCCCAGAAAACGGTGCATGAACTTGCTTGCATAATATTAGGAGTATAAGAAGAAAATCCACGTAATTGAACTCCTTTGTCTTCACTCCAGTGGCAAGGAAGTTCAGAATTCCAAGGAGCATGATATAGAACTTAAAGTGAATAGTATTATGCTCTTAAATCTATGTAGTCATGCATGTAATTTGTCAAAGGTCGATAGTCTACACCCTCCGTGCATATGACTCAGGCTAATACTTATAGTTGGTTAATTCAGTCAACTTTCCTTGTGTTACAACTAGGGCTCAAAATGCCATAGATCAACATAAAGCTTGGAACATTAAGTTTCATTCAATTGATAATCTTGTACCAGGCTAGAATTTCAAAGGTCCAATGGATAAATCATCTTGAAGTACAAAAGTGATAACGTTGACACTAAGAACAACCAGTTTCTAAGTAAATTCTTCAGCCTCAAAAAAATCTACCAAAAATGAAACATCTCCAAATTTATTTTAAAACCTCAACACCTCATGTTGGTCCTCCAAATGTACGCTGGGAAAAGAATAATGCCCTTTTTGCCTGAATTCAGACACTGTGTCAAATTAACTGCAAGGTTAAAGTTAAATAGCAAAATGGCCGATGTTGAATATTTACAGTCCAACTATTGAGAATGTAGGTCACCTTTAATATTTTTGGCACCAGCTCCCACAAATTCTATTGCCCGTGTATTCATCGTCCCAAACTTCACCTCTTTGCAGGAATCATACAACCCTTCTCCAAAAGTTTCAGATAAATAATAGTCAATACCATCCACAGTCAAATTACCACCAACCTGGAATGATGACAATGGTAATTATAGGTGATCCAAAAGCATATCATGCTAATGCTGGCTATACCAAACATGAAATAGAATCATATACTGACAGGTAACCTATTGATCACAAACTTTTGATCAAGTTCTTGTTTTGAAGAAAGCTTACTGCAAAATCTTTCTACGGAATATGAAACCAAAGCACAATGATAAGCCAAAATAGATGAGAACTATAAATGGAAGTTGCACCATATGAATACATGTACCCAATAGCATAATGCCTACATGACACAAGACAATGCAAAAGATAAAGGAAATCGTGATTAAGTTACATGGCATCATTGCCAAAGCAGAATTTGCCACAGATATAAATAAAATCTTTAAAGAAAAAAGATTTGCCTTTCAAGTTACTCATAATATGAACCCTCAGTAGACTGTTCATTTTTAGCTAATGTAGGGGGGAGTAAGTGGGAATCGATAAAGCAGGAGGAAGCAGCATGCAATAGAAGTCACATACATCCTACAAAAGTGTCATCAGAAGAACTCTTAATAGCTTTGATCATGCCTCACCTCGGAAATAGACGTCACATTGATGAACATACTTTGATTTGGGGAGCACGAAAGCTCACAGAAAAGATTTAAGAAGTTCCTCAAGCATGCTGGACAACCCACAAGGAAAGGAATTGCCTGCAATAATGGTTAAAAATTTGTTTAAAGAAATAAAAGTGGGAAGGATATCGTATGGGTCTATTTTTTGAAAGAACGTTTATTTATTAAGCAAACAAGGATAGAGGGGAGGAGAAATCTCCTTCCAAAATTACATGGACAAAAAAAAATTATTAGAATGAAAAAACTATCAATGCCACTAATTGGAACAATAGACAATTTATTGAAAGCACCAAAAAGTAAAAGCTCATAATAAAGCTAGGACAACATATTATCCTATGATAACTTGGCATCCCTTTTGAGCAAATATACTTTCAAAAATCAAACTTGTCCTATGTGGCCTAAATGAAAGACAATATGAATCAGGACTGGCAACAGTAAAAAAGACATATATTGAGATAAATAATAATATTAACAAACATATGCTACACCATGAGTTGAACAGTAGTACAAAGAACCATCACAAATAGCATATACCATAAATTAAAAAAATCCACGACTTAAGATTCGCAATATAATATAATTGGAAAAAAGAAATATCCCAATTGCCAGCACACAATAGCCTCAATTAAAATCATGGATAGACACAGAAAGCTTTCCTCATTATTAAAGTAGAAATGAAGTAAGAAACTGAGATATCTTAGCCTCCTGGGGAACATATGTCTCAACAGGGGCAGAAATGGACTTCAATGTTTGGAGGACCAAAATAGAAATGGACAAGAAAAAAGAATTAACTTTATAGGAAGATTAAAAAAGAAAAGAACTCTTGAAATTTTGGTGCTGTCATATTGTAAATTACACATGAAATAGAATAAAAAAAAATAACAGAAAATATTAGAGAACTTGAGATGATATATACTTCTAAAGAACGTACAAATATAATTGGAGGTGCTACATCCATGTAGTTTAGAAACATAGATCAAATAAAAGTTTGATATTTTTTTTTTTTTTTTTTTTTGATGATATATATACTTCTCAAGAACCGTCAAATATATAATTGGAGGTAGCTACATCCATGTAGTTTAGAAACACACACCCAGTATAGATCAACATAAAGTTTGATATTTTTTTCTTTTTTGTTTTTTTTAGGGGGGGGGGGGGGGGGGGGGCGGGGGCGGGGGGGGGGAAAAAAAGGAAAAGAGGGGAAGAGGGGTGGGAGGGAATCTCGGTGGAACCAGTTCTGCGCCGGCTGTGTAATGACATTCCACAGCCAAGAAAAAAAAAAAAAAAAAAAGTAAAGTTTAATTACGCCAATATCAAAAAGTAAACTAATTTTTTTAATGTGAAAAAAAAAAAAAAAAAAAAAAAAGCTAATAGTTTAATTACGCCATAGTATATTATGTGTCCATTCAAACACACATACACACAGATATTTGTGATCTTTCTTCAAAATATATGCATATATGCAAAAAGAGCAAGACAGGTCTTACTTGTTGAACTTGTCCACGCAATGTATCAAACTGAGCCTCTGTACAACAAACATTTCCCCTTATTGTTGGACACAGGCTCTGAATCTTAGCTGAGAAAAGCTCGTCAGGCTGTGAAACCATATGGTACAAATTATAAGGTCCATCATTTTGAGTAAATGTGAGGAACTGATTTGGAGCAGAGCTAACACGGAATGGAAGATGCCATTCCAGCTCTAATTGAACAAGACACTTGAACCATCAATTGCATACCTTCACAGATGGAGTACCATAAGGGCAATTCAGAACCTTTCCATCGCTTCGTACCCCACATATGTCGTACATTGCACAGTATTCTTCAGAATGCCTTTCCCTGTCCAGCAGATCAGAACTATATGATTCCACCCATGAGAAAATTAAGAAAATCTAAGACATTTTAGGCAACTAAGAACCTTTGTCCATTAGAGCGATGACACTACTATGTGAATCAAAAACTGAGCTTAACTATGCCAATAGCAACATTCATCAAAGGGGTGGTATTAGATATCCACGCTTTCCACTTAGAACAACATAAAAAAGATTGTTTTCTCTTTACTAACAGACAGAATCATACAGATAAATCACAGCATGGAAACTCAAGAGTTAAATATAAATAAACTTAAAAAAAAAAAACGTCATTGATTTGATTGATAGTTGTTATATTATTGCAAGAGGGCAACAAGACCACCAGGCAAGAAATGCCAAAAACATAACTAACCAATCAAGGTACTAAAAGATAATCAAAATTTCATATAAGTGATTTCCTTGATCAAACTAGATGTTACCAAGGAACCATGCATAGTACTAAAGTGGGAGCTGCCAAATACACCAGCTATCCTGATATATGAAATGAATGCATAAGAATGTAGCACTCAGCATGCTTACTATGGACACCAGATATTCATATGCACAAAACCTTAATAGAATTCCAGAAAATAAAATAAATTCAAAAGAATAAATATAACTATTCCGTAAAATTTTTGGAGAAGTCCAGATTGGGACACATGGACGCTTACCCATTCGTGATCCACGAACCAGTCTTCATTGCACCCAGTAAAGATGCAATAAAAATTACCTACGGCAACCAAAATCACTGAGTTCAATAACATTTCTAACAAATAGTTAAAGCGCCTATTAAAATCAAAAAAGCAACTTGATATATAATAACCCTATCAGAAACATAACAACATTCATATCATCCACAATCGAGTTCCAGCAAATAGAAATGTTTCAGAGCCTAGAATTGTACTCTTAGTCAACAAAAATAAAAAAGGGAAAGAAAATACCAACAACAACAGATATAGCCACGATAATTGACCCACTCAACAATTCAGCAACAAAATCAATCAAAAAATAGAAACCCAATTCAAGAAAATAATTAGAACTGTCTCAATTCAAATAAAAAAAGAAAGGAAACAAATTATTTGCCTGTACTAGAGATTGTGCAGTGAAGCAAAACAGAGAATATGCCATTTCCTTTCCTTTCTTTTGCTTATTTTGTGTGGGCTTGAGGTAAATCGCAATATAGTAACAAGAAAATAAAGCTGCAAGTGAGTAGTGAGGGTCAAGATTCAGTTGGTGGGGATTGTTTAGAATGGCTAGTTGCAGAGAAATTGACCAGTTGAGTAAAGCTGACGGAGGAAATATTGGTAGAAGAAGAAAAACATTTTAGTAAAATATCTGGAACGTTGTCTTCTTGCGGTTAATGGGAAGTAATGAGAGTCGGACAGGTTTCGTTAATGGTGACGTGTCGTGTTACATGTACATTGAGACTTAGATATGACCGGTTCATTGAACCGAACCGGAACCAGTGGTTCATGATTTTTTAAAATATTGAATCTGAATTGTCACTTGAACCGCCAATTCCAGTCTGGTTTTGGTCTTGGCTAGTTCTGTCTATCACAGTTTTCGGCTACACGTGTTTTAATTTTTTCTAAAAAAAATAAAAATTTGATTTTAAGGCGTCTTTCTTTTAAAAAAATTAATGTGAATTTAAAAAAAATAGTAAATTTATTTTAAATAAATTTAAAAATGCTGCAAACCAAAATAATCAAATAAATTATCTTTATTTTATCTAATGTTATTAATTAAATAAATTATTAGAAAAATTTTAAAAATTCTTCAAATAATATAATTTTAAACTAAGTAAAATATTTAAAAGGAAATAATGTTCAACTCCCATTTGTATTAAATAATATAATTATATACCAAATTTTTATAAAATAAGCTAAATAATTATAATTTTAAAAAATAAAAATAAAAAATTTTTAGTTCGAATCAGATCATATTCGCCGGTTACCCACCGATTCAAATTCATAATTTAACATTTATTGAACCTTAACAAGCCCTTAAACTGCCAATTCTAATTCAAAATTTTGAACCGACGGTTTAGGTACAATTCTAGTTCGTCGATAGTACGATTCGGTTCCAATTCAAACTAAACCGGTGGCCATGCTTAAAGATATGCCAGTCAAGTACCATGGGTCGAGTTGGAATCAAATCATTTAAAATTAATCGTTTTGTTGGGCATTGCATGGGATTTTATATGTATTCCATGAATTATATTATAAACTAGTCGAAATTCCGTGGTTCACTCGCGGGTTAATTTTATCATTTTATGTGTATTGCATGGGATTTTATATTATGCATAAGTTATATTGCTATTTAAAAAAAAAAAAAAACTATTTGCAATTTTATGTTGAAATCAAAAATAAAGATGATTGAATAGTTTTTCTTTTCTCTTTATCTCTTATTTTATTATTAAGTTTGTTGTTAAATTATTTGTATATAAACGGTTGTAGATGTATTTGATAAAAAATGAAAAATCAATTAACAAAAAAATAAATTCTATAAACATAATGAAAACTAATATAAAACCAATAAATTGATTTTTATTAAAATAAATTCATACTAATTTTATTAGTAAATTGGTTTTAATAGATAGAATTTATAACCAACTATTCTATTAGTATATTCTGGCATTAATAAAATCTTTAACATGAGATACTCGAGTAGTATCTGGCACTAATTTTTCATATATATATACACATATATGACTAATTATGAGTATGAATAATACGCTTCCATGCTAATTTGTTAAATATAATTTCACGTGTTCATCCAAATGAACATATTGTTGCAATCTCATGTCTCATTTTCTTTTGAACTGTAAGTAAGAACTCCCACATTGTGGTGTGCCCACTTAAATGGGACCCACATGTGTGAAAGTAAGAAAAAAAAAAAATAGGAGCAGCCAGTTCAACTGCTATAGCACATGGGCGGTGCAATACACGGCATTCCTACGCGTTAACCTGCCTATAAATAGAGGCAGAGGCAGAACGCACAACACACACCAGAAACGAGAGAAAAAATGTAGCGAGAGAGTGTTACCATTTTAGGATGGGTTCCTAAAACGAGGGAGAGAAAAATAGTGAGGATTATTTTGGGGTGTTTTTGGGAAACACTTTGTGTGCCACTATTTTTGTATTACTGGGAGTGTTTTTGGGAAAAGCACTTTGTGTGCCCACTATTTTTGTTTACTCTCTTTGTAACCTACTATTGTTTTAATTAGTTGGAAGAAAATATTTGGAGTTTGTCCCGTGGACGATAGCCCTAAAAGAGTTGAGGGTGAACTACGTAATTTCTGTGTCAGCAAGTTTACTTGTCCGCTGCGTTAATTTTCTCTTAATTTGGTCGAAAGGCCCCAACGAGTGGTATCAGACTTGATGCCCAAAACTGGTATCAGAGAGTCGATTCCTAACAAGTGGTATCAGGCTGAGTCAAGTGGTACCTGGCCTAACAAGTGGTATCAGAGCAGAAGGTTTTTGGCAGGTCCAGCCGGTCAGGAGTAGCGGGGGTACCGGATCCGTGATAGTATTTTGAAAATTAAAATAACCACGATGAAGAGAAGATGAAGAGAAAATTACGACGAGTCCATTGGTGTTGTCCGCTCGGAAAGACATTGCAGAATCGACTTAGTGATGAATAGTAAAATAGTAACTTGCGGCTGATGGTGAATAGTTACTATTGGCGTTACTGTTGCTGAGCCCGTCACTGTTAAGCCCATCACTATTACGTATAGTACTATTCACGAATACAGGTACTATTCACGTATAATACTATTTACGTGTAGTATTACTGTTCATACATACAGTTACTATTCGAGTATACTATTACTATTCATGGTCACTATTCACGTATACTACTGTTCATGTATACGGTTTATGTTGGTATTTCTGCGCAAGTCAAGGCTGGACAAGAACATTAACACAGCTGGCCAGCGACCAGAGCAGAGGGGCCAGTGTTTACTGAGAAGTGGAATGTTGTTTTCGAAACATGCATTCCAATCTCGGGTGGAGATTTGATGATGGGGAAGTTTCTGCTTAGCCACCTTCAGAAATGTTCAATGGAAGCTCACAAAAGGTTCATTTGTGTAGCTAAAGACCGAAAGTTGTACGTGATGCACTGGGCGAAACTCTCCCAAGACACTTCGAGGGTTAGGGAGATAAACAGTACAGTTGACATGTGCAACAACGACTATGTCACAATGAGTGAGAAAATTCTGGCAAGAAAGACACGAACTACCGTGGATTGGATGAAGTTCACCTAGACAAGTGCCTTGATTGTATTGGCGGAAAGCATCAACAGAGTAAGCTGTTTCAAGATTTACCCCGTCTTTCTAGAATGGAAGAATGTATTAGATCTGATTCATTCAATTTGTGTAGACTATTGACATGTCATATGGTGGAAATCGATATTTTGTATATTTATCGATGGACCATTCTAGGAAGACCTGGGTATACCACAATTGAAGTCTTTCTAAAACCTGATTTGAGCGATAGACAGGCAGAAGCTGAAGTTATCAGGACAGATAATGGTGCGAGAATACACTAGGCCATTTGATGCTTTCTTGACCAAAGGAGCATGGCATCGAGCATCACAATGGACACATCCCAAGACGCCGCAATGACAGTTTTGGTGAGAGGTATGAACAGAACTTTGATTGAGAGAGTCAAAGATGTTTACTCTCACATGCAAGTTGTCTAAAAGATTTTTGGGTGAAGCGTGGTTACTTCACAATAGTTCACCGCTTTCACTCTGTTTCCCTGTTTCCCTCTACAGTATGATACTCCAGAGTGAGTATGGTTAGGAAAGGATGTTTCCTATGATCATTTGCGGGTGTTTGGTTGCAAAGCCTTCATGATGTCAAGACTAGACGGTTTGTATTTATTGGCTATGGCTAAGACCAATGTGGCTATAAGTTTTATGACCCAATCCAGAAGACAATTAGAAGAAATCGTGATGCTATATTTGTTGAAGATCAGACTATTGAAGATATTGAAGTAGAGTGTCAATACAATAGATCTGATGAAGACTCAACAAACATACAGAGAGTCCCTCCAATAGAACGCAGACAAATTGGAGATGAAGAAAATGTTCCACAAGAACAAGTGCAAGAGTTAGAAAATCCAGAAGTTCCTAATCAGAATGAACCAGATGAAGATTAGGGTGTTCATGTTCAACCACTAGCACCGGAAGGTTCTCAAACATTAAGAAGATCTAGTAAAGTCTGACAACCATCTACTAGATATGCAGTCAATGAGTATCTACTAACGACTGATGGGGGAGAACCTGAAAGCTTTGAAGAAGCTATGGAAAATGAACACAAGAGGAACTGGACAAAGGTCAAGGGAAAAGAGGACATGGTTTGTCGCTTGAAGAAGAGCTTGTACGAGTTGAAACAAGCGCCGTGACAATAGTATAAAAAGTTTGATTCTTTCATGGTGAATCAAGGATACAAAAGGATAGATGCAGATCCTTGTGTATATGTCCAAAAATTCCCTGATGATAAATTTATCATCCTTCTCTTATATGTTGATGATATGTTAATCGTTGGACAAGATGCACACATGATTATCAGGTTAAAAAGTGATTTGTCAAAAGCATTTGACATGAAGGATTTAGAAGAAAATATACATGGCAGCAAACCAGAGATTTGTGAGAAAAGAGATTGTGGTTGCAAAACTGAAGAAGAGCCTGTATGGCTTGTGAAGCAAAGCCACGGAGAACAAGCTGGTACAAGAAGGCTTGAGTCTGTTATGGGGGAGCATGGCTACAGAAAGACTACTTCAGATCACTATAAAGAAATTCTCTGATGCATGACTACATTGTTTTTGCTCTATGTTGTTGATATCGTGACTGCTTGTCAGAATTCTAGCCTGAAGAAAACAGCCTAAGTAAGTTCTATTTTGCCATGAAAGACTCGGACCAGCAAAGCAAATTCTTGGCATGAAGATCGAAGAGCCAAGAAATTATGGTGTCACAGGAGAAGTACGTTTGAGAGAACTTCAAGGTTTAGAATGAGAATGCTAAAGAGTATTGTCCTCTTACTAATCACTTCTAAATTGAGTTCTAAACAGTGCCCTTCTACAGATGGAGGAGAAGGAAGAAAGGAAAAAGATCCTGCAAGGTTGGTGCCTTGGTCGAAAGGGGTCTTCCCGACAAAAGGAGTGTCGGGCGGCGTGTCCCGCCAAAGTTGTAGCGGCGGTACAAGGGGGGGATGGTGGCGCAATCTAATAGATTATAGCTTGCAGGAAGGAGCCGTTGTCGTGACAGTCAAAGCTCAATTCACCTTGGAAAGAATTCCTCCTTCCATTCATATCACTAGATCAGGGATTGTTGA